ACAGAAGGTATTTGTTATGGTTCTCTGATGGATCACAATCTATAATGCTGTAAGTCTGAGTGCCCTTAGTAAGGATTCTGCAGATTTCCCGACGTACAACCCTGTCAAACCTGGTTGGGTGGGCCGTTGCCTTGCAGCGCGCTTCCATCATTTCAGGAGTTTCTGTTTGCTCAACACGGGCTATCTTGTAGCCTTTCTGAACCAGAATAGCAGAGAATCTGCCAAATGCAGTTTCTGGAAAACCGGAATGAGCCCATGAACCTTTCATAAATATCAGGCCCAGCTCATTCACACCAATGACTGCATCCATGTGATACAACTCATAGAATTTTCCAACTTTGTAGCAAATCACCGCATCGAAGTTTTGACTTTTCAGCTGCCACCACCTCCGCATTCCAGGCGTACATTTGTTAAGGTAGTCCTCAGGTACATACAAAGTACATGGGTCATAGTCAGGGTCATTCTGTCGTCTCCTGTGTGCATCTTTCTTTTTCCCTTCCTGCAGCCACTCAAGCTTCTCATGTTCCCATGCTGCAAAGCCACTAGTGCCTCCACTGCAAGCATTTGCCTGAGACTCAAAATTTTCAGGTGCTGCAAACAATGTCAGCTTAGACTTGGCCTCTAACGAAAGTGGTGCTGCTCTTTTGGGTGCTTCAGAACGTTCATTTTCTAAGCTACTCCTTTTAGAAGGCTTGCTGACGTTTCCTCTCTTCCGTTTAGAAGGGACTTTTATGGGACTTTCTTCAATGCTCTCTGCATCTGTCTCTGCATCAGTAGCTTCATTTTCATCCACCCCACTACTAGCTTCCTCGCTGCTCGCTGCTTCTTTCACATCAGGCTTGAACTCTACATCAGAACCATCACGATCACTGTCCGAATCCAGCACTCTTCTTCTTTTGGCTTTTACAGCACTTCCTCTGTTTGGTACTCGCTTATTGCCCTTCACATCCTCCTCACTATTGCTGTCATCACTGTCGCCTGATGCACTTCCACTCATCTGCTGAAAGAGAAATTATTTGACCTATTAAAAGTTCTGGCCACAAAGTAAAATATCACAGCTGCAAAGAGAAGCACACAAATGCAGTAGCTATGATACTTCATGCAAAAGACAAGACAGTCTCAGCCACACAGCAGTCTAACTTCACAGAATATTCTTTACTGGGAAATAAACTATCTGCCCGTGGCGTAATCACTCCTCTCTGTATTCCTCACTGCTTCATTTGAATATGCATAAATGATCCATGTTAAAAAATAGAAGCTTCAAACACAAAAGGTGTACAGTACATGACACCCAGCACAAAGAAGAAACACCTCCATCAGCTAACCATGCTGTTTAGTTCATGCATGTTTAGTAGGAAGAAAAGGAACTCCATTTGCCTTTTCGGCCAAAAACTTTAAGAATACCAGTGCCTGTGTTAGAAGAACATAGCAATGGAAAGACTGTACTAAGTACAAAATGGTAGTTTGCCCCACAGCGTTGTCACCTGTTGCTGGAGAAATGTCATGCTGGAGAAAGAGTAGACAGGTCACACTGATAGAAGAGGTAAGGAACACTACTGCCCATCAGCAGTTTCCTCATACCACAGAAGTTTATTCCAATGCATGTGGCAGTAGTGAAATTGTATTTGAATTATAATACATTATGAATGCAACACACTAAAAGATTTTAGTTATCCCAACAGACTAGCATTAACAGTATAAGAATTTGCATTTTGGTGCAACTGCACAAGATCAGGCTCCAAAACCCAACTTAGTGTCTTAAACCCAGCACTCAAAAAGTTATCAATTTTTATGTGAGAATTTCAACTGAAATTAGGACAGTTTAGAACATGAGCAGAGAGGATAAAAGAGAGCCCTTTGTCAGACAGCAGGTAAGTGGGGGCACCTTGGGAATGGCCACTGAGAAGAGATTATAAATATACTAGAGAATTTAAGAAACTTATTGAGGTCAGGGAACACTGAAGAGACATTCGACTTGTTTTTCTTACTAGAAAAGGTAGAAGAACAGCATATGATCTAACAGCACAGAGGCAATACAAAACAGCATAGGCATTTGTTGTATGCGCTATCAAGCAGACAAGCAGTGATTACTGTACCACAAGGTTGCAGGATGCTCCGTGCTTAGCTCCAAGAGACAGCTTCTAAGTTCTACCATTATTTCTGAAAATGACAGCAAGAAATATTTTACCTCCATTTCCTCCTCCTCTGCCTCCTCAGCATCTGAAGGTTCACTGCACACTGCCAGCTCAAGTCGCTTAGGTTTATCTTTACTCATGGCATCATCTGCCAGCTCCATTGCTTTTTTAATTTCAGGCTTCGTACTATAGAACATACCTCCCTTCAGCACCTCTCTGTCTGATGAGCCTGCAAAACAGCCATCTGTCAGAAACTGAACTGGTCCAGCATTTAGCCAGTTAGCATTCATCTTTTGCTTTTAAATGTATCCAAGGTATTAGATATCATTAGATTATTAAATATATTACATATAAGATACATATATAATATGTACATTTTATATACAAAGTATTTTCCCTCCTCTCACATCCCTTTAGCAGTGCAGTTCCTCTTTTCTTGCAGAAAGCAACTACTTTCTGCAAGGTAACAAAGACAAAAAGCAAAGGCAACCAACCTACAGACTGGTTTCTAGAAAGGATCCCCAGAAAAACTGGGATTCATCTTAATGCTATGCTGAAGGAATAAATGGTGAATACATAACATACCATATACTTGGCTTGGGGACAGAGAAGAGTATGCCACAGATGGGGAAGGATGATTCCTTTATCTGCCTTTTTAGCTCTCTGCTTGAACACATCTTTACACCTGTTCTTGCAAGTCACTTGGGAGACTGCTATTAGCTCCAAATTAACCATAGGCCAAAGGTAGTTCACTTGTGGGCTCTCAGTACCCAAGTATGAAGTTTCAAGCAAATGCAACATATCAACAAACTAGATCTTTATTTTAGTTTGCAAATGCAGCGAGACAGTCTAAAAATACTTTTCATGCATTTTAATAATGACAACAGTTGCAGGAGCAAATCCCATCATGCAATTTAACTGCATACTCATGTGCAACATCTTCATTTTCACTTAATCTATTTATACATAAATCACTCAGTTTCTCGCATGCCCAACCGTTACAAAGCCTGGCTTTGTGGTGCTTATATTTATTCAGTTGTAAGCAATACTTTTTCTGTTAACCAATGATATCAACTCTTTTTTTTTTTTTTTATAAGTGTTTTTCATCTTAATTTAAATATTCATACTCTGCTCTGAATTAGCCACCTTTCTTGCAGACAGACTAGTACTCCTGTGCTTAAACATTTTGCGCTTTTCTTATTTTACTGCAATTATTTTGGTAAGTAGTTCAATTATTCTAACCCACATCTGCTTCTATAAATACTGTAAATTGTTTTAAAAATACACCTGATTCTTTTAGAATGCCTTCAGGAAAGATGCACGTTAACCCATTCACCTATGCTGGACTGTACTAACACTGGGATAACATTACCATTTTAAAACTAATCATGGCTCAAGTGCAATACCCTTAAGATGGAGCTCTTGTCCCTAATCTTCCTACTCAGGGCAAATGTCAACTCTCAAATATGTGCTTACAAACAAGGTTTGACAGTCTTAACATTTTTCAGGATTTCAGAGATTTGTCTTGATTTTCTTCATAAATGGAAAATAAAAGAAAAACTTTAAAACATAAGCAAGCTTTCAGCTTTCACTGTAACCTAACAAACAAGAGGGCTGAGGACTTTATAACCACTAACACCCCTAACCCACAAAAACTTACTTTCCCTAACATTAGGCAGGACAAAACATGCTTTCACTCTCAACACTGCTCTTGGTTTTGTTGCTCATTTCCTATGGAGAACACCATACCCTGGATTCTGCACCAAAAGGAGTGGCATCTCTGCTTCAAAGCAATTCACTGACATCTCCTACCTTTGTACGGCCTCAGGTACTTGATGCTGACCCAGCCCCTCGTGGGACTGACATCAAAGAACTGCACGTGGATCCGAGCAGAACTCCCCTTCCCTCTGACGATAGTTCCCTCCGTGGGGTGGTTGTAGACGAGGCACGGCCACCAGGGATAGCCTTCCATCTTGGCCCAGACCAAGTCCCCAGGAGAATAAACACTGGAGACACTGCACAGACAAGAGACGTAGGGGTTAACGAGTATTGTCCTCACAGAGGAAAGCGTGCAGTGCAGCAAGCAGCGAGCCTGCGGAAGGGCCTGGGAAGCTGCTGGGAGGCGTGACCTCGTTTAGCCCTTCAGATCCTCCTAACGGTGCCCACACCCCTCTCAGCCTCCTTTTTGTGCTTCGCTCCCCGAGGCTCCGCTTTGCACTCCTTCCCTACCCACCCGACGCCTCCTATGTTTCCTAAGGGCGGAGGAGCGCTCAACCAGCCATTAGTTAAAAGAAGACCCCGGGCTGCGCGCTACAGACGGCCCCGGGCGACGCGCTGGAGACGGGCAGATTACACAGCCATCGCTTCCCAAAGGAGAACAGGGGAGGGCAGGGCAGGGCGCACGAAGGAAACGAGCGGGGCTCCCCGGAGCCCCGCGCACAGGACGCCCCCGCCGCCGAGCCCCGGCACCCCAGAGGCCGCGCCGCACGCAGACGATCGCTCCGCTCCCCGACCCGCCGCAGGCCCAGGCCCCGCAGCTCCCGCCGCTTACCCGCGGCCCTTGGCGGCCGCCCCGTCCGCTTTGCCATTCTCCTTGCTACGCTCCGCGGGCCTGGCGGCGGCCTCGAAACCGTTCTGCTCCCTGGAAGAGCGGCAGCGGTTCTCCCCGCCGGCGGGCGGAGGGGTGGCGGCGGCCCGCGGCTGCTGGGCCTTGGGGAAGAAGCGGAGCAGGGTGCTCTGACGAGACATGGCCACGGCGGGAAACGCGGCCCGCCGCCGGCGCGCGCCAAGACAGCGCGCCACTCCCGCCCACCGCGCGCCCCGCCCACCGCGCGCCGCACCAACCGCGTCAGGCGGGAGCCGCCATCTTGGCACCGCTCCACCCCCTCAGGTCGTGCCCTGCGCTGCGGGTGCTATCCGCCGGGCCGCCGTTCCCGAATTCGGTAGCTCGTAGCTAGATCTTGTCTCGGTGCACCACACTACTCATCTGTTAACGCACCTCCAGGACAGTGACCCCACCGCCTCCCTGGGCAGCTCGTGCCAACGCTTCGCAGCCCTCCGTGTGGAAAAAGTTTTCCTACTGTCCAACCTGACCCTCCCCAGGCACAATTTGAGGCCGTAAGCTAAAAAAAAAAAAAAAAAAAAAAAAAAAGATTCCCTCAGGGAAAGGGAAGCCGTGCACCTGCCTTGGAGCACTTTGTCCCAGGCTGTGCTGTGAGAAGAGCAGCAGTGCAGTGGGGAAGTCTCAGAGATGTGCCCAGAGCAGGAGCAACTTGCACAGCTGCCAGCCCTTCCCGGTGGGTTTCCAGGCAGGAGCAAAGAAATGGCTGCTGAGGTAACAGGAGCTCTTCTTCTTCCTTTAAAAGCAAATTTTTTATGCATTAGAACGCAGTCAATGTTACATGTTACAGTGGTGTGCTTAGTCTGTAACAGTACAGAACAAAATAAGAACATGTTTTTAGCAGCATGAATTCAGGAGAAAAACAAAACAAAACACGGTGTCGCTAAACGTCTTTTTGATTAGATTTTTCCTTCTCTAAAATTATTGTTTGGGAGATCTGAAGGGCTGAACGAGGTCACGCCTCCCACACCTGTAGCAAAACCATCAGAAATGCAAGGAAGCCATCTGGCCACCAGAGGTCTCAAAAGCCCAACAAAATGTTTTAAAGGCATGTTCCTTCCGAAGGAGTTCGTTCTGTTTGGTTTCCTGAGCCTCATGGAAGACTTGTTGCGATTCGTTTTGGTAGCTCCTGGGTATCTCTAGGCTGACAGGAGCTCGTGAGTCAGTCCTAGCCTCTTTGCTGGCATTTAGATTTGGCGTAACTGTGGAGATCTTAAGAAGAGACCACAGTCATTAGAATTACAGAATCAGAGAGGGGATGAGTTTGAAAGGGACCTCTGGAATTCCCCTGCTCAAGCAGGGCTAGGAAGAGGAGGTTGCCTGGGACCATGTCCACAGCCTTTCTGGGCAACCTGTGCCAGTGGTCTGTCACCCACACACTGAAATTCTATTTATTGGAAAATCTTGTATTTAGCTCTTAGTATTAATAGCAAGGAACTAATTACCCACTGCATTCACTAATTCCCTCACAAAGTTCACAGACATTTCACAGTCACCCTGCTGGGACACTTAACTCCAGCTGTTGACTTAAAACCAGAAGCACCCATGGATTTGAGGTAGATGTTCAGGAACTCCCTCAAGGCCTTTTGTTTCATCATATGCATGTGTATTAATTTGATATAATCTTGTAGTCTTGCAATTAGCACACTTCTTGGATGTAGCCTGCATTATACAACCCATGGCTGATGTTGGTGGACTGGGACAGATTCAGCAGACTTCGTGTTCAGAGTTTTCAGATTTTGTAGATTCAGCAGAACTGCTTGTCTGTGGAGCTTAGGAGCACAGGGGAGACTTTCACATGCTACCACTTAAAACATATTTTCCTCCTCTTCAGCCTGCTGTTTTCTGGTACCTTTTTCTCCATCCACATACATACCTGTAGAGCCATTCAAATAAACACTCACAGAAGGAGCCTTTATGATATTGTTTCAGTTTCCTTCTAGTAAAATATCTACTTCTATAATATCTAATTTGTATATATTTATTTGTTGCATCAGTCTTGAGTAGGATCTAGAATAATTAGTACATGAATCTTTAAAGTTTTTTGATAGGAAGCTTTGAAAGGTAAGTGGCATTACTGAAAACTTACTAGGCTTCCCCCCTAGAGTTGCATAATTTCTCTTTTGTTCACTGCTGCAATAAGCAAGATGCTAACCAGGTGATTTTGAGGTCTTTCTGGGAAAGTGAAATAATGTAAATCACAAAGGAAACCTACAATAAGAATTACAACAGAAAAGCAAAATAAAATTGAGGTCGATAGCTCTTTGTTTATTTAGTGTTTGCAATCTCTAATATTCTTGCTGAATAACATGTTAGAAAGGAAAAGTGACTTCTCAGTTGAGGTATCACACGGTTCTGAGTCGCCAGATACAGCCAAGAGCAAATCAAGCTTAGGGAAAGGAGCAAGGGTGCAGACAGCACAGAGCAGGTCCTCACCAACAAGGATGCAGAATTAAGCATCCAAATGGAGTGGGCAGAGCAGGGTGACCCAGCAGTAACTTAAAAAAAAACCAAACAAGTGAGTGGATCAGGTCCTGTGGCAAACAGCAAATGAAATGACCGGCATGCAAATAGCTTAATGGGAGGTAGATAAAGAACCCAGTGCATCATTTGATTAATGTGTGCCCTTTCTCTGGGGTTGACTTGAACTCCCTTTATACTGATGAGAAGATCAGAAGTAACCTTAACATGGTGCTAAATGCTTTATGGGCCTTACCTTGTTGACAAAGGGTACCAGGCCAATCTCATGATAATGAGCTGTTAGGTTGCAAGGTGGAACATTTACAGAAGTAGCTTAATCATGCTAATGTAGACATGACTGAAGACAATGCTGACCTTACTAAAAAAATGACTCCCAAAGGAGAATTCAAGCACGAGTCTGTATATTACATGAGCTGTAAATCAGGTAACACAGAAAGGTTGAGGTTTAAGAAAAGTGCAACCGTGACAAAATATTTGAGTACTGATGTCTCTCTGACATCAGAATACAATTGATCTGGTAGGATGGGAAGAATCAGATACCCTAATATGCTAATTTAGCTGAGAAAAATTGATGTAGTAGAGGGCTCTAAAGGCTTAAAGGGTATTATTAAAGGTAAAAATACTTAAAAGGTATTATTCCTCCGTGCAGTTTACTACTTCTCAGTTTCCTCCTCATCATCCAGCATACGCAAAAGGATACGCAAGAGTATGAAAATATTGCTGCTTATTCAGTAGCTTATTGATCTGTGCTTGGGTTGAGAAACCACCTTTATTTTAGTAAAGAAGAGATATTTTTTTCTCTCGTCATGCTTTTTGCATCTGAAGATGTGTATCTTCCTTGTACCAGTTTTAGAAGAACTTAGCAGCCATGTATGTATGTTTATTTAGGGTGTCTGATTACACGGTGACTTAAACCTTTGCACTATTTTCCTTTAATGACAAAGTGGCAGTAAAAACAGATGAAACTAAAATTTCTGAAAAAATGACATTTTAGGGTGTTATGTTTCCTTTATACCTTCCTTTAGGTGTAGGTAGAGCAGAGCTGCTGGAATGACATACAGTACGGCTACCAGAACATTCAGAAACCATAAGAAAAGTATAAATGTAACCCATGAAACCAACTAAAAAATGTGGACAAACTGCAGACTGCATTTCCAATTCAGACCTTTTTCTTATGTGATACACTACAGATCCCTGCATGGTAGTAGAATGTCATCCCCCTGCCCCCACCCCCTCCACAAAAAAAAAAAAAAGAGGACCATGTCTGAAGATGATTGAATTCTTTCTTCCCTGTAGCTCTAACAGTCATCTGCTTATTTCCTCAAATTCAAGATGCTTCTGCTTTTTACAAGTGGAGTGGCCACCCACACTTATCCTGCTTCCTGCCTTCTGTTTTATTGTGCTTCTATTAATAGTATGAACGCATAAGGGTTTTTGATTATATAGTTTAATAACTTCAAGTTACAAAGAAAAAATAAGTCATAAACTTAAAACAAAACAAACCAAGGCTTTGCAATCTAACAGACTAATCCGTGTAGCATAGGGCATTGGATTTCCCTGAATCAGTCGCTGTTTAAATCAGACAGTCTCTGGTAGAAAACAGTTTTGATTTAAAGATTTGCAAAGACAGATCATGACAGTGATCTGTCAATTAAGCAACATGAGATATCCAGAAGTGCCGAGGCAGGACATATAAATTTAAGCTAGATGGATAGGTTTAAGCAAGTTCCATTTTTTTTTTTCCCAGCACTGAACTAGCAAACAGGTGTTACTAAAGAAAGGCTGTGTATTTGCTTGACACGGCCTTAGTTCAGAGAAGTCATTTGTTGGCACTGATGATGGGTGAGAGAGGCCATGGGAAAGCAGCCTGGTAAGTGCAGTCACTGCCTGGAGAATTAAATGCTTCAATTCTGCATCCCTGCCAGGTGCCATTTGGTGAGCCAAAGGAAAATTGGTTCCTCTAATTAAAATACAGGAGGGGAGATGGAGTGAGGGGAGAAAGATTTCTTTATTTCCTTCTTACATCTATAACTTTGTTCCTGATGGGGAGCTAATCTCCTGCCAAGTAACATTGGCAGTATATCTGGAGAATGCCGTCCAAAAGTTGTTTCTTTGTTGAATGTCAGGAGGTGCAGATTGGGACAAGGATGAGGTGACATGGGCTGAGAACTGTTCTGAAGTGACGCATGCTTTGTGTTTCACACTGGATGAGCACTGCAGCCTCTGAGCCCCGTCCATGCTGGACCTGTTCCCACTCAGACCTCATCTGATAACTGTTTTACTTAGTGAGATGTTGTTAACTATGAACTTTTCTGAATGAATGTATATATTTTTTTCCTCCAGCTTTATGAGGAAATAAAAAACTCATGCTTGGTGCAAGGTAGAGCAGGGATCACTCCTGGGTATGTGTGGTTGGGTATAAACCTGTGGAAACACAGGAATCAAGCTCTCTCTTGATGGACTTGGCAGGACTCTCACCTAGCTCATCCCCAGGCTGACTGTGCCATGCTGTTCTCCTTCCTGTACCATATCACATCCTTTGTTCCTCTCTGTATAATTTTTGCCATCCTTCACAAACTCAAGGCCTCTCTCTTTTTTTTGGCCATATGTGCCATACCTCTCTAAGCATGCTGCAGACACAAGGTTTCCCCATTCTTTCCTTTTCCTGGGGACCTTCTTTTTCCCTCCAGGTATATCCACTCCTCACTAAAAGCTCCATTTTCTGCCATTTTCCTTCTCCTTCTCTTTAAGAAGAAAGCCATGCAAAGTGCTATATGATATTCTCTACCCAACTGCTGTTCAAAACTAATGTAAGGGCAGTGTTATGCTGTAAGGTGTTATCAATCAGTCCTTGTGCCCGTCCCACTTTTCACAACTGAAAGAAGTCAGCAGCAAAGCCTGAAGACAAATACTATCGCATTTGCTTTCCAGTTCATTATTTCTTGATACTGCTTTAAAGTTAATGTGAAATACAATCAAACCATCAAATAATGACTGATACAAGTGTTCTGATGGGTTCCGAATAGTTACCATTGAAATCAGTTAATATAATTGATTTGCTATACAGTTTGTTTGTTGATGTTATATTATAACCTGCAGTCAATTTAGTAGTCTTCCATAGTAGCTGTTAAAGAAAATTAAAAATACATTGGATATATCTGGATGACTTGCTATTTATGATACAGTGCAGCAGTTAAGCAAGCTGAGGAACCAGTTGGGCAAAGAGAGATAGAGACCCCATGGGCAATTTGCCTGCAGTACAGAATGCTTAAGTGCATTTGTGCAGCTGGCATCTGCACTTTGGAGATCTCAGGGATTTAGAACTAAATACATTCCATGTAAGGACGATGGCACATCTTCACAAATTAGAGATGTTGCCAAATACGCTGATTCCTTCTACAGATCAGGCTCTATAAATTATTTCCTTTCTTGAGTGAGTTTCCGTTTCAGTTTAAAAAACCCATAAGATATATCTAAAAAAAAGCTACTGTCTAAAGATGTCCTTCTCCACCCTTTCCTTAACCACCAGCAGTTCAGTTGTGAACCTATGCCAATTGTTTTGCCATGGAACTGTGTAGTACTGCACTGATTATTGCAGCGGGACCTGATACAGCCCCGCTGACCCATTAGCTGAAGTTTCATTTTTATTATCACTGCAGCATTTTCTTCTCTGTTTCTCTACAGAGAATTCAAAAGAAATGTACCTAAGGTTCTTTTGGCACAACCAACTCTCTCGGTCCAATTTATAGGAGGGAGAGGAGGTTCTTTCATAGAATCATAGAATCATGGAACCACAAGGTTGGAAACAACCTTCAAGATCATCTAGTCCAACCGCCCTCCCATTACCACTGCTACCACAAGCACTAAACCATATCTTGCAGCTTCTCATCCAGATGAACACTGCCAGGGATGGCGACTCCACCTCCCTGGGCAGCCATTCCAGTGCCTGACCACTCTCTGAGAGAAGTTTTTCTTTATGTCTAACCTAAACCTCCTCTGGTACAACTTGCAGTCATTTCCTCGGGTCCTGTTTGTTGCCTGGGAGAAGAGGCCAAACCCCTCCTCATCACAGCCTCCCTTCAGGAGGTTGTAGAGTGCAATGAGGTTTCCTTTGAGCCTCCTCTTCTCCAGACTAAATAATCCCAGCTCCGTCAGCCACTCCTCATAAGATTTGTGCTCCAGACCCCTCACCAGTTTTGTTACCCTTCTCTGGACATGTTCCAGGGCCTCAATGTCTTTCTTGTAGTGAGGGGCCCAACACTGGACACAGTACTCAAGGTGCAGCCTCACTAGTGCTGAGTACAGGGGGATGATCACCTCCCTGCTCCTGCTTGCCAGACTATTTCTAATGCAGGCCAGGATGCCATTGGCCCTCTTGGCCACCTGGGCACACTGTCAACTCATGTTCAGCTGAGCATCAACTAACACCCCCAGGTCCCTTTCGTCTTCACAGTCATGATATATTTGATATGTGTATACCCGACATGAAACAGGAAGCAAGTTCTGAGCCAGAAAACAAAGAAGAATGCTACATGAAGTCATTGTTTGACTTGTCTATTACCATATATCTTGAATATCCTATATTCAGACTAGTCATACAGTGCAGCTTTTGTGCTAATAGAAGTACACCTAAATGATTTTCACTTGTCTTGAAGCATCTGCTTCTTCCTCCCACATTCTTCCTTAAATCTTAACAGAGGATCTCAAAGAATGCCCTGCTTCATAGTTAAACCAGCTTATCTGGTTGGTGCGCTTTTTAAGTACATTTATTTCTCTGTTAATGGAAAATGTACTTCATTACTTTGAAATGCTCTTCTATTGGAAAAATGACTAAATATCTTAATTATGCTTTGTTAACACTTTGGGAAAAGTTTATGTTCGCCATCTTTTCCGTCTTCCCTCACATGGTGCCTTACTTACCTCTCAGCCAATTACAGCTGGGCAGCACAAGAATTCATAATTTTAGAAGAAACTCATGGAGACAGATGGCCCCATGATTTTTTTGTGAGAACTACTGAACTCCTTTAGTATCTAATTTAAGTAAAATCTGTGAGCTGACAGCAGGATAAGATTTGTGCTATATTGCCAGCCTCAGGCATCAAAAAATAACACAGATTTAAAATGTAATGTAATGAACTTTTAAGCTTGTCTGGTAATTTTTGTAGCTCCTAGTGGTTCAACTTTCAAATGTTTCTCTAGAAATATGAAAGCTAAGAATCTGCCTTCCTTTCAAGTAAAAGCTTAAATTCCCATGTAATGCTGGGGATTTGGAAACTGGGATTTCACAGAAAGTATCATGTATTGTGAATTTCACAAACAGAAACAAAGCAAACTGAGGAATGATAGTCACACTGAGTCTCATTGCATGCAGAAACACAAAGCTGTGCATTTTTTGACACGTTAAGGATTTTGTGACCATGCTCCAGATTATTGTCAGGGAAAAGGGGAAAGAAGAAAACCAACTGTTTCTCTACAAGTGATTGGTTAATAAATGGTCAGAGTGGTTAACAATAAGAGGTCAGACAAACAAGATCAAAAAGGGAATATTAGCCCAATATAATTAGATGAGGAAAAGACAAAAGGAGAAGACAAGGATCAGAGTGGGAGAGAAAAAGAAAAATGGTTGAAAAGGAGGCAAGAAATCAGTGAGAGCTGGAGAAAAAGAAACCTAAAGAAAAGTGTGGCTGTATCTGCACTGGGACTGCATCTGGAGCCATTCTGAAGAAGCACCTCAGCTGTCAGCCCCACCAGCAGCCCGTGCCCTAGAAGCAGCTGCAAGTCTCCAACTGCACACCAATCCCTTTGCCCTTTTACCAGCTCTACTATCTGAAACAAAGTATATCTCCATGACTTACTCTAGCAAATTATGAAGCTATTTCTAAGTGAGACAAATTTATTTACTATGGGCTTGGTTTTACTTTAAAAGACTTTTTATTTTTCTCTCATAGCCAAAGTACAGAATACTGGTGGGGATCAGCAAAACCATCCTGCTTGCTGCAGTAGAGGGAGCCCCCCATCATTGCCATCTGTAATCCACTGTCCATAATGCACTTAGCCTTCCTCCTCAGTTAACATGTCTCAGGAAGCAAACATTCACTCATGCCTGGGTAGCAAATTATCTCTAGAAAGAAAAACGCATGCTGAATGTTCAGGCCTCCTCCATTGCTACAAAGGACCTTGTTATTTCACTGATTGCAAAAATCAGAGCTGTCCAAATAAGAGAAATAATGAAAGAGAAAGTCAGTGCACAGGACCCCTTTGCTCTGTTAGATGGTTGTGGGCCACTTTGGCTCATCCACCAGAGTAGATATGTTTTCAACTGTTTTCCACAATGTAAAGTTTACCTAAATATACGTTCTGCCTTGACCAAAGCATCAAAGGGAAAGCTATAATTGTGAGAATATAACATGCTTTATATTGGTTTCCTGCTAACAATTATTTGTAAGTCTCCCATTAATACAGTGTTGTTTGCTAGGATACTGGATAGCTCTGTGTTCTTTATGCATAAGATAAATTGAAATAAATAACCTAATCAGAGAAACAGTTTCTAACTGCAGCTGCTAAAGGATTAGCACCACCATGAGGTGGTCTTTGAACGTACCCAAGAGATGTTAATACAATCCTGATCATGGCTCTGATACAACAGACCAAGCAAATAAAAAGCTATTTTGTCTGCTGCTGAATCCTAACCTGATAGAATTAGGATCATTTTCAGAGGAAAAAAAAACCAACAAACCAAGAGTCAGATTTCTAAAGACCTTTCTAAAGGTCAAAGGATTTTTAAGACAGGTCATGTTGTGCTTTCTCATATCTGTGCGTTCTCAGAGGGCTTTAGTGAAGTCTTCCCACTCATTTCAGGACATAGATAAAGCTTACATACATCGCTCACATGTTTTTAAGTCATACCTGAAGCAGTTTTCCTAGAGTTTGTTTTACTGCCTGGAAATCGGTGTTTTTTAAAAACAGGCTTCCAAATGTTATTTCCTCAACACTTTATAATTTTTCAATATTATTTTAATAATATTTTATGTCATCGCTGTTCACTTTTTACTTTTGCTTTATGAACAGCATGGACTAATTTGTATCACTATCCAAGGCCTATAGGAAATGGGTTTTCCTAATGTTAGATTCATTCCACAGATTACTTCAGCTTTCTTGTCATTTTTGCAAGTTAGATCACTTGGGCCCAGAATGACTATTCTACTTTCTAAGGGAAAATAAAAAATATATATTTTAAGCAGTGCAACAAAACCAACAAAATGATATACCACCTTGTATACAATTACATGTGTGTAAATGAAGAGCTTCAAGTTACTCGGAGCCACCCTGCAGTGCCAGAACATAATGTGTTTGCTTATGCTCTCATGACACTCTTATTATTTTAAAGTCATTACTAGCTTTATGTTACACCCCTTTTACAATAAATTACTGTTAGAAAGCCGCTATAATTTTAAGATCTTCTACAAAATGTTGCAAATTATTCTTCTTTTTACTCTCCTACATAAAGTATTCAGACTACAGGATCTAGCTAGACTGACTGCATTTTACTTTGCCTTTCCCAGAGCAGCAGAAGTAATATTTTCTAATATTGCAGATTCTTTTTTTTAATATTTGTTCTGTTCAACATTTCTCTAAGATTCTGAGAGGTAAATCAGAGCTCCCTTACCAACAGCAAAAATAGTTCTATTAAGTAAAAACTAGACAGTTAAGTGATTATTCATTTTGAAATACAGCAGCAAGTTAACAAAAGAAATGAAACTGGGAGAAACTCTCTGACTGATATTCCTTTGGTTTGCAAGGCAGCACGTCAATAGCGCATCATTAAATTCAGAAGAGTGCATCACTGGCATGTAAATGTCCATGAGGCACCTGGTCACATCTCTATTTGCATTGGTCTTTTGAAAAAGGAATCCATAAAGAGTTGATGGTTTCCTACCAGATTTACTCTCACACAACAATCCTGCTTTTAAGAAGATTGATATCTAAAAGAGGATTACTGCAAATTAACTGGTTAGATTTTCATTTGCATCAGCTTCAGAGTATGGAAACAGTGTGAGCGATATGTCAGTAAGCATGTGAGAAGAAAGCAGTTTCCAAGTCTGATTTTACATAGTTTCGGGAGGAAGAAGTGCGAATTACTCTCAAACAAGACTTACATGTGCATTTGATTTATTCTCTGTGCATTCATTTGCAGTATTCTATTTCCATATGCAGTCAAGTATACGTGATTCTGCAGTATATCTAATATTGTTTAAAGTTGAGCACTGAGAGATTTAAATATAAATTTAGTTGAACCATTTCATACAATTAATTCATTTGTGGATAATACAGTTTGGGATCAAATGCTCCACCTCGCAAATACATATAGGAGTTTGGCCAGTAAATTTCAGCCACAAATATAGAAAAATCCTGAAGATGTGAAGATTGTTTTAACATAATGCTTCATAATGAGAAGTACCACTTTTTTTTTTTTTTTTCATTTTAAAATAATGCTTTATTTAAAATCAAGTTAACTATTTAAGATGACATGATAGAACATGGAAAACTAATGATATAATTTCAAGAAAATTTAGTTTGACTTACAATCATTGTTATTTTCTATTTTGATGAAACCACAAAATTTTCTTTTGAGTAGACCTAAAATAATCAGCTGTTACAAATTAAGTATTTGTTTAGCTTCTGTATTTATTTATTAATCTACCATCTTAGAAAGTGCTCTGGATTACTGATATACAAAATGCATCTTGAATTAGGTTCTACTACTTACTTTCTGTTGGCAGATATATTACATGGAATGGGAACCTGGACTACCTCCTGCACAAAGCTGCTGAGGAAAAGCATATGAGTTAGAGATGCTTCTGAGTTTTCATATGGTAAGTTGATATGCTGATGATTTAGAAGGGCAAGGGGGACTTCACAAATTATAGGAAAGATTGCTGGCAGACATCGTACAGTTGGCTTTTCAAAAGTTCTTCAAAAATACTCATCTCCAAAAACTATTAAGAAATTAAATTTCCACAGGATTGGAGGATAAGTCATTTTATGGCCTCACTGTAGAATAAGGAGCAAAAGTAAAGGTGTAACTGTCACTTTTCAAGGTGGTGAAGGGTCAACAGTAATGTCTGAATGTCAGATTGGTTTCACCTGACGTTTTCACCAGTGATCTGCAAAAGGCAGGAGTCAGTAAAATCTTGAAGTCTGGAAATTAGTTGTCAAAAGATGCATTGATGATGAGGAAATGATGAGGAGTTAGGAAGGTGCCAGATGCACTTCAGTGCAGCTAGAAGTCTAGCTGCATATGTTAGAGGTCTTATAGTCACACTTACATGATGTTGAATGTGGCTGAGTATTCAGAAAAGGTTTCTTGTAATCATCACTGGGAGGTCACTGAAGTCGCTGGCTCAAAATTCAGCAGCAGCTGGAATAGTAAAAAACCACCATCAGATCGAATCCTGAGAGCAGTATGGATAGCACATCCAGGCCACCATGAGGGACCGCAGCAAACCCACAGCTTTCAACTTGTGTGCAAGAAGATCTGGTCCCACAGGCTTGTAGAAAACTATGGAAAAATACTAGAGTTTATGATGAAAAATACACGCCAAAGGCTTGAACATCTAACATGCCTTGCCTTTCCACTGTAAGGCATTTTGTGAAATTTATGGAGCTGGAAGTCAAACTCCGCAGCCACAGGGTGCTCCCAAGATAGTCTGACAGTCTCTTTGTTCCATTCACAAGGTTGGAATTATGGGATTTCTGTGGGAAGAACTGACTTGATGGTAAGTGCCCTCTTGCAGTTTCATTGCTTCCCCACAGAAACAGGTACCACTGAGAACATCACAGCTATAAGGCTTCCTCCTTCACTCTCCCTCTGTGACTCAGCACAGCACCCTCATTCACACTGTGCTGAGTGAAGTGAGGGATTTCTCTGTTCACAAGGCTGTGACATCCACGCTCGGGCAGACACAAGCCAGGATTACTTGGCTGAATGGAGCTACAGCTTAGGATGGAAGTATTTATGAGCAAAAGCACTGAGGAGTTCCTCTTAGAGCATGAAAAATTAAAAAAAAAAAAAACCCAAAACCTTGTCCCCAGATTATACTTAGAGACTCACCAGCCTCTACAGCACAGATCATTACCAAAAGTTCCTCACTTATGAGCAAACAACTGCATATTGCATTCATTTCGTTTCCAAGTGCCCTCAAAACCTGCTGTAGATAGATCACTGTAGCTCCATTGAGAAACAGTGCAGTTTTACTGTTCCTCCAAACTGATGCACCACCTGTTTTTTTGTTTTTTTAAAACACTTTCTATGATTCACATTCTCCCCTTAGTCACAGCAGTGAACACCTAGCGTCACTGGACTTACAGAGATCCATTGCTCTGAAATGCTCCCTTGGCAGTTGAGCTGGGTTACTAGGGTTGCAGTCAGCAGCCAGCCCTGGGATAGATGCAGTATTATTGGCTTCAGAGCCGTTGGCAGCACACTGAATGACTCAGTAAAGCCAAATGCCTCAGCTACCACAACAGACCTGCACGGTCAGCAATGCCCTCCAATACTGAGAGTTCCTAACACTGGGGAGGCAGGAGAGGAGCAGCTCCAACAGCTGGTGCTGGAGACGCAGCAGGGAATCTGTTCGAGGCCTGTGCTTCCGATTCCCCCCTTTCTACTTGATGTAAGCAAGCAGAAAGACATTTACTGTTTGTCAATTTATTCTCTTCATTACTTAAAATAAAATTCTGAGCGCCTGTCTCTTCTTTAAACTCCCCTTCTTCAGAAATAGTAACCACAAAAATGGAGCTAATGAGAAGGAAGCAAAAATAAGTAGAAATGCATAAACACACATTTAATTCGCTTCACATTTGTAAGCTTTGTAAGCGTTATCATGACTACTTTTGATTCTATTTTCTTTTAAAACCCCATTGAGGTTTTCTTTAATCTGCAAGCCAAGAGTATGCTGAAAGTTCAGGATGGGACAGAGCCCTCAGTCAGTGACATGCAATAGTGACTTCTGATAAACCAGTAATGGGCATTGGTTTAGTCCCTTGAGAGCACACTGTCCAATTACAAATACTCAAACCGACTATTGTTAGCTCATTAGCAGCTAGTCAATTAAAACAGCTTTGCCCAAAGAGGAAAGCAAGCTCAGAGCCTTCACTAATGGCAATAACACTTCCATGATAACAGTGGAAAATAGCAACCAATATCAAAGGCCAGATGATGCCTCCAGTTAGAGCACATAAATGCAATCAGAAGATGGAAACAAGCCAGTTTTATAAACTGAGAGTAAAGCAGGCTGATAACATTTTAGCCCAAAGGGAATAATAGACTTTATTAATTCTGGTTTTCTACAGAGTCCCAGCTATTTTCTGCTTCTAGCTCTAACTACTTAACTGCTAAACGGCTTTCTGACAGATTCAGCTCTTTCCCTTATCCCTCTGTGTATTTCTAGGGCTCTTTACACAAACAAAAAAAATAGTACTTTATCAAGCTATGCAACATTGATGAATGTTCAACATTACTTTGTATTAGCTCAATTTTTACATCCCCTTGCTACACAGCATTCACAGTACAGAATGGCTGGAGTAAGAATTCAGAGCCAGTATGTATTGCCAGCAAGCTCCCATTGTTCTCTACTCACAGCCTTTTGTTGCAGTCCTACTTATCCAGTGAAAGCAACAGGAGAAAAAGGGAACCTTTTTGCTTTATAAGAGAGGAGGCAAGAGTAGCAGGATAACTTGTAACAGCATTAAACATTTTAATTTGCAGGCACATTGACTCAGTGAGTCTGTAGTGCATGCTGCAGTTCCTGGCTTGTCATTGTTTCTGCAAGGCTGGTTGTCATAGCTTCACTGGGACCCTGGATTCAGAGATGAATGCCAGATGAAAACGTATTTTGGAGTTCATGCTCTTTAGGGCACATTTCAGTCTCCCAGACATACCACATTCCATCAATTTCATATTTAAAGAGTTTCTTCTTCCTTTAAAGCTATTCACAAAGACAAGAAGCTTACCTATTTCTTTCTTATGGAAACTTGGATTCTGATATAATCATATGGTACTGTGAGTTGAAGCCCCAGAGAAGTGTATTATATAATCATGGTTGTAAAATTACTGAAGGATTTACAATATTCCCTAAATGTTGCCACAGAGGAGCAGCAGTACGAGCCTAAGAGCTAACATTATTGTAAGTCATCTGAGGAGTAGAGATTACAAACCTGGGTAAAATCTCCCTTGTGCATTGCATTGTGTCAGCTTTGCATTTGTAGAAGCAGCTTTAAAGAAACAATTTTCATCTACAGTAAACCTCTGATGGTGCTATTTTGCTCTCTGCTAAGAAGGAATTACTGTCTAGGCCTTTTAAGAACTTAACTCATAATATGGGTCAAGATATGCTGCTCTACTTTTGCAAAAATAATTGGGAGACACAGTTATTATCCAATCTACATGCCAGAGCAAGGAAACAATGCAGATAACACAAATTACTCAACCACTGAGTCCAGTCATGTACCTTAAAGGCTGCATTTTATACTAGGGTATGTTTGGAGCAAGGGCTTTTTTTTGTGGTAAGATTGTGTCCTTGTGAAGATTTCACCAGTCAGAAGGAAGCCCTCACTGGATGGATTTGCTAGGCTAATATTCTCTGAAGAAAAATTGCACAGCATCATGATAAAGCAGGAGTTCCTATTTGGATGTAGTTGGATGTATGATGGAAATAAATAACGGGGGGGGGGGGGAGGGAGGAAAGCAAGCAAATAACAAATTGTAAGATGTTCAAGTATTTTACCATGCTGAGGAGGTAAATGTAGTTAGTTATGTAAGAGACATCACGCACAAACACAGAGCAACAGAAGTTCTGCAGGTCCTGCATGCTTTTCCTTTTCTAGGAGACAATATTATCCCTAACAGCAAATACACACGCCCCCGCCCCACTCCCCAGCCTCTGTTCCACATCTGCTTCCTCTTCCAAGTTCCCACCCTTTTTGTATTTTCTACTGATTATCAGGTGTTGCTTTTTCTTTTCTAATTAAAAAAATCCAAAACATCTTACACAAAGCTAACCTACCTCACATCTTCACAAAGAAACTGAAGGACTGTTGGGACCTTTTAGGAAATTTGAAAAATTACTTTGATAGTTAAAATGTAATTGCAATGTAATACTTGGTTGCCTCGTGTCTTTCCAAGGACATACTTCACAGATGCAATTCAGTACATTAAATATATCTTTCCAAGGAAAGAAGAAAACACTTAGAAACTGTAGTAAAAAGAAAAAGTGATGTTCTCTCTCACCAGCCTTCAGCCTGACAGGTCTCCTATGCAGAAGCTGAGGTCAGTGAGGTATCGCACTGAGTCTGCATGAGTTTGCTTCAACACAGTGATTTCCTGTGCAGGAAGAATGGTTCTATTTTCTCTTTCCATGATTTTTTTCCAGGACCGAACAGGATTCAGTGCAGAACCCACAGGTGTGGATTTACTGGAGGGCTCACAGAAGGTGATTCCAACAGATGCCAGCTGTGACCCTCCTGCTACTGTAAGGCTGTACGGCCAAGAAGTGCTGAGTCAGGTAGGTTTGAGTATTTTCTCCTGCTAACTGCCAGAAATATTTTTAACAGTATACCTCTCTGGCCCTGCCAACTTCATTCTTAGTAAAACGCTAATAAGTGCTGGCTGTTGCTCTGGGATGGAGGTTTCTGCCTTCAGGCTCACTCTGCTTGTCTGCTAGAGCCTGACTATAGGGAAATACATTGTGCTATCTGTATGGCAGTTTGACAGCTTTTCAAGTGCTTCTTGAGCTCGATTCAGACAGAGCTCACCTATGGGACTGCCTACGCTGCTCCTGCCAGCCAGGAGGATCCAGCACGTTTACTGTACCCCAGGCCAGTTCTCACTTGGGTCCTCACCACCTGCACATCGAAGTCCTGCTTTCCCCTAGGTAGGCAAGTGGTAGGGCCACATCCAAAGCAGAGTGAGGAAGGTATGCACAGTGCATACGCAGGAGCTGGGTATTAGGAGGAGGTAGATCTGTTAGAATGCCTGTAACTCCTGCTGTTGCCCATCCAGCAGACTGATGAAGCAGCAAAGGCAGCAGAAAAGTGGGAACAGCTGGGGACCAGAAGGAGGGAGGGAGAAGTGAGTAAAGAAGATGATGTGGAAGTACCATATCTTTCCCACAGTCACGTCCTGTGCCTAAATAACATACATTCTCCCATCTCCTCACTGCAGGAGAAAGCAGGGTGGCTGTGGCATACTCAGCCTGCACTGCTGACACTTGGCATTGCTTTTTCCCTTGCTTCCACACACACTCAAGCTCATTCCATGGATGGGTTGAGGGACACAACTGGATGGAGCCTAAGGCAATGGAACCTTCTTTTCATCTTCTTGCCCAGCTGTTTCATGATGCCTGGGTGTTCATGGTTCAAGAAATGGGAGAGCTTGTAAATGATCACAGTTACTAGCTTAGCACATAGAAGCAATCATTATGGGCAGACACATCCACTTTGTATTAGGTGGGCCAACTGGCAGTTGTGGGATCAGAAACTATCTGAGGAACAAGATAGAGACCTGGGGCTCCCCTGGGCAGAATGCTCAGAAAAACAACTCACGAAGCAGCCAACAAACAAGCATTTTATCTTATTTAAATTGAGACAGGGCATTACAATCACAACCAAATTCCATTTAGAGTTTGAGCTGTTTTATAACCTCAATTAAAATAATGAGAGGACTGGCACTCTAACGGTACCACTCTGACCCTGAAACTGTGTTGATGCAGAACTTTCTGTCCACAAATTTCCAAACCCTACTTGAAATACTGCCATGAGAATTGGGCAAGGCAGAACTGTACCAAATAGGTTATTTCCCTATTATCATTTCTTTGATATAGTCATGATCTTATGCATCTACCTTTCTTTAACACATTATTTTATTTCTGTATTCAGTCATATATGGGCATATACCTTGACAGTCATGTGCTGCACATGTCACATCTGTATTAGATTACTCTTTGTCTCCCCATTCTGCTGCATGAGTACACAGTACTTTTTTGTTACTGAATTACTATAATATTACTATATATTATATAGCATATAATAGTACATATTATATATTATTATTACTGTATTACTGTTTATTACTATAATAATTTTGTATTGTTACTATTAAAAAAATCTTCAGAGATAATAGTTTTCTTCAGACTTCACTTATGGAACTTCTTCTCAAAGCAGCACTGACCTTTGATAGCAGCAGTGCTGCTGTGTGATGGAGCACTGGCTGCTACAACAAGCTCTTTGCTTGTCTCCTAAATCCCTCTGGATAAAGTAAGGAGTTAGGTATGTCACATCAGGGAAGATGACACTGACATATGAATCACAGAGCTCTGAAAAGAGGCACAAGACACCACAACCTTTTCTGTTTGTTTCTTTGTTCCTTTGCCTCAGTAAATAGGGCAAGCTAAATCCAGCTTGTTAGAAGTGCCTCTTCTAACTGTATTTTTCCATACTGTAGCAATTACATCATTGACTATAACGTCTACGCAGCTAAAAGATGAAGACACACAAGGCAGGCAAAGGCTACTTTTAAGCAAATGAGTTACTTCCATCCAGTACATATGTAGGAGTGACTGTTTTCCCACAACTGCATTATGCTAATCAGTAAACAATACATTGAAGAAGTTTGTATTTAATTTCAGGGTAAAACTCAAATCATAGAATCAGAGGATGGTTTGGGTTGAAAGGGACCTCACAGCTCCCCCAGCACCAACCTCTGCCATGGGCAGGGCTTTCCCCCCCCCACTCAGGCTGCCCAGGACCCACCCAACCTGCCCTTGGGCAACTCCAGGGACAGGTCACCCACAGCTCTCTAGGCAAATGGATGTATACAGCCCCTCAGATCCCACCAAAGCAAGTAACAGAACTGGACTGCTCTGTTTATTGCTTTAGATTTGCTTATGAATTTGGCATCTAGAAAGCTCTTCTGAGAAGAAATGGCTTTGCAATGCAGGCTCAGGATCTTGTTTTATTCTGTATGATATAGTAAAGATGGACTCTTTCATATTTAAAATGGAAAAGTTACTAATCTACTCTACAGGTATTGTTAATTTTAATTAATACTGTTAATTTCAGAGTTGCTTAGACCTTGTTCTGAGGTGGTTTATATTATACACAAAGCATTACTGATTCACTGATGAACATGTATTCAGAAAGAGATGCTTGGCAAGTTTTGCTAACAGATAGGCAGTACAACAGACTTAGCAGGACTGCACTTAACAATATCATCTGATAGTCAATTAAGAAAAAAATGTTAGGAAAGTTTTACTGATTTCTCTGGATTGTGCTCATTTGTGAATGGTCCCCGAATGTCCAGACATTCTTTATGTTTTGATGCCCTGCCTTAGTGATAGCTGGCAAGTTGGTTCAATAATCATGAAAAATAGAAGAAGCACTTAAAGCAAGATGCTGACAAGTTCCTTTGTTGCAGCAGTCATTGTAGACAAGAGATGATAGTCATTCTTTGCTGTGATGGCACAGATCTGGTATCAGTTTTCCTTGATTACATTAGCTTTATGGCAGTACAAGTGGAAGCAGGCTCTAATGCCTCAATAGCTTTACACATTATGAAGTAATCCTGTAAAAAGTAAATATTTTGGATAAAATTATTTGAAGTGAAAAAACAGGATCAGGGTTTTATGCTCCACAGTTGGCACATGTATGCCCTGTTGTAAAAGAATGATGTCACCTAACACTCCTTTAAATAAAAGATCTGAACATCTAACATTTAAAACCTCAAACTATAGAGGTCTCCAAATCAGTATGTTCATTTAACGTGCAGAGACCCCGACTTAAAGGTCACCAGGTAGCGCTGAATCATAATCTATTTCAGAGAACTAGGTGATAAAAGATAGGCCTATTTTTAGCTTTGAAATTCATGATCATTGTATCATCAGGCCAAATGAAGTTGATCAAGCACCTGAAAGGTGAGAGTATCTATTCTTCAGGCATCTTTAGAAACAGTACAAGCCAAGATCTTGGAGCCTCAACAGATGATAATCCTACCTTCAACTAAAAGATTTACTAAATCCTGTGGCAAAGAACTTAGATCAGTTTCTCTTGAAGACACACAATTCTATCACTTCTTATATTTATCATTAATTTACAGGTAGTGCAGTGCAGAACAGACAATTTAGGACAGGAGCAATGCAATCTTCGTGCAATAAGTCCATGTGAATCTGTACACACATTAAGAGTTTTTATGTGGCCAAAGAGTTGTAAAATCAGGCTGCTGTAAGTAGCTAAAGATAGCTGAGCCACTGAGATTCTGCTATTCCAGGCTCCCAGCCTATATCTAACTGCTCAAGCACTTCTATCTGTGTATAAGGCTGTATATAGGACACTTTGGAAGAAAGGCTAATTAAAAAAGGCTTGAGCATAATGACAGCTGAAGTCATTTGGGATTTATTTTGCAATATGTCAAATTCATTTCCCAGGACAGTTTGGTCCCTTGCACTTTCACTCCCTCCCCTTTGTAGACATATTCAACACATCAGTCAAAGAGAATTTTCCTAGGGAAGTTTAGTTAGGAAAGTGCATTTCCTTCAGCTAGAAGACTAGATTCAATGCATGAGTGCAAATGCTGATCTCTGCTCTACTCAGAGCAAATCTACATAAAGGGTATGTCTCTGGTTTATTGACTAGACTGACTTGGAGAACTCCGTTCTTAGAAACAGCTGCAGCAGTATTGAATAGACACAGCTTTTTTTGAAAGGCTTACGAAGGTATTTTTCCCCTTCACTGGGGCAGTGTGAGCCCCCATTATGCTCAAGAAAACAGATCACAAGAAAAACTGGAAAAGAAGAAAAATTGCCTATCAGGAGTCTCCACATTGTCCTGCATCATGGAAATGCCACCAACAGATTTCACCAGAAAAAACAAAAATCTGTAATGAACGTGGCAACTGCAGGAATTATTAGTCAGAAAAAGACAAAACAATGCCAGTAATATTAAGCTGTGGGAAAACAGGATTCATGGCTGTCTACATCAAATCAAGACTATGCAGAATTCTTCTGTTTCTTCCTACATCCATAGTGTACTACAATCATTAGTTTTTCCAATAACTATCACTCCTGCAATATCCTCCGTATTGCTGGAGCGTTACTCTAACAGCACAGTAATTTATCTCATGTGTGGCTTTTCTCATCAGATCTCACTTCTATTGGAGGAACCTTTTACTAGATTCCCCAGCAAACAAAATACTTCTAAACAAGTTTTTCATCCCTCCATTTCTTCATACCGTATACAAGACAAATATTTTCCATTACCTGACAGACACTTTCATTTTCTTCTTTTCTTTCCCTGGTTAGTCTGTTTAGCATCACATCAGTTACTGGCATTCTGCCAGACTATTTGGAATTTTATGTTTTATAAGAACTTAGGCTTATAATGCACAGAAAGGCACTAACTGCCTACCAGCTGTTATTTGGTAACTGACAGGAAGTGCGTGCATGGCAAAATCTCAAGGCATTCTGATGCTAGATAACCTTTGGTCCCCAGTACAAGTGCTGAGAGGTACCAGCAGCAGATGCTATGTGGATGTCTTTAGCCACAGCGTAGTTATGATGTGGTTTTGTCCTGAGCAGGGACAAAACCTGTGCTTCCTTGAGGTTCCAGTGTGTTCAGAGCATAAGACAGACAGGAGCAAGGACACTAACATACAAGTTAACTGAGCAGATCTCAGTCTCTGCATCTCAGAGTCATTCACAGGGACGTAAGTACAGTGTGGATGCTCTCCAGTGAGAACAGGCACAAACGTTCCGATCACTGGAAACATTTCATAGTCAGCAATGCTACAGATTGAGTACTTAAAGGAGTTTATGAGTACTTAAAGGAAGTTATAGTTAGGTTAAAAAAAATTGAGTTGCATACAGAGTTACAGATTGCTTTCGTTATAGACAGAACTGAACCAAAAGAAACTAACGACCTACACTAGACTGAGGGCTGCTGTAGCTCACGCTTTTGCTGTAGAAAAAGAAAATCCTGCCATAACTTTTCTAGAATTGTTCCAATGTATCTACATTACAATACACAAACAAGAAAGAAAGCCAGCTGTGAACATGCTATAGCATATGGACTTTTGCTGTGTTATTATATGTGGTTTTGTTTCCAGATAAAAATACATATATAATATAAATATATATACACATAACTTCATACATCTATAATATATTTATATATGACAGCATTTTTAAATCTGTTCCAGGAGGAAGTGAAAATTAACTCCAGGTTGTCTGGACATCCAGAAGCCCTGAGGATTTCAGGAGTATCAAAGGCTGAGGATGTTTGTAGACTAAACAACTCCAGCAATTGCATCAAATGAGAAAAGTAGTTTTCCTCCTTCAGAGTAACAGGTAAACAATAAAGCAATTTAAGCAATACCATAGTAACAGTATTTGGAGACAAAAACTGGTTAAAACTTCAATGTTTGTCATATAGCCATGTGAACTTGTTAATAAAACATCTCTGAATATATCCTCCCCCACCCCAGTAAAACACCACATGATTTTTGTCATCAGAAAGCATAAAACAAGCAGTTCTGCATCTGCTCTCAGGAACAAGAGGGATGCCAGTATATTCAGATTACTGAATTAACTTTTGAAACTGAAGTTCTGTACTAAGCAGAAGAGATCTAACCCTTACTTAGAAAAAGAGAATTGTTTTCCTGTCACATCTCTGAAAAATGAAACCCACCCCCACTATTTATCCTTTCAGCATTTCTTTTTGGATACTGAATCTTATCCAATTCAGAGTAGAAATATGCGTTCCAGAGAGTCTCTGTTCAGGGCCAATTTCCTTCCCAGGCAGAACACCACTGCAACTGCGCTGCAGCACTGCTAATATCATAGGCTTAAGTCACTTCAGCTCCCAGTTCACCTTTTTTCCTTTATAGTAATCTCAGCATCTTTCAGAGCAGACACTGCTCCTTCCTGGGAGCTCTCTTGCTGGGTGGGAGAAGACCCTGCTCCATCACAGCACCTTCAATGCCTTACATGCACACCTCTTTCCTCCACCTGCCTCAGGTCTGTTTGCTTCCCTTGCACTCCCTCTTCTGCTGTTTATTTCTTCATTGTGAGCTACTGGATCCCTGGCCACAAGCCTTTTTGTGGGACTGAACTTCAAGACATTGATTTGAAATTCTGATTTGATTCTCTCCCCTGGAAGAATGGTGGTTGCTTATGTCAGGGGATTTTGTTTCTACTGCTCTGTAAAGCTTAGTGCTAAGCCTCAGCAAGGAGTGTGAAGATATGCCACCTCCACACACACAGAGCACCAAATGTGTGTTCCTTAAACACACCAACGAGCTCAGGAAACAGCTGCAGAGAGCTGATTGCAGAACCCAGCCTGGCTAAATGAACAGCCACTACCTGACACAAGCTTTTCCCCAGTTGACAAAGGCAATCTAAGCCTACTACATTCAGTTCCAATGGCAGCTCAGACACAAGAAATTTAATTCAGGCATGCTATAAATGGCACTACATGCTCATTCTTTATCTTGGTCTTCAATCTGTTCCTCCAGTAAAACCTTGGAAATATTTATTTCACTGCTATATTAAGCCAAGAAGATGATATGTTCAGGCTCATGAGTCTATATGAATGCTATTTTATCACACTGCAAGCTCTGTCTGAAGTGACATTTTCCACAGTAACCTGGACTCCAGAAGAAAACAATGTGCATGTAGGCCATGTACAGTTTTTGAGTAAAGTACAGTTCTCTACATCCCTTGCTGTGAAACTGCCCCATGCTTGGCTTTTTCATATTTAAACACATCTAAAGCCAAGGAAGCAATAGTTCTGGCTGATAATTCCTTTGTAGCTGTTTAAGCATGTTTGTAGGATATATCATAAACCAACACTGGCAGTTAGAACCTGACATTCTTTAAGGTCTCTTCCAGCCCAATCCATTCCATGATTCTGTGATCCTGTGATCTTAGCACTAAGCATCCCTACAACAAGAGCTCTTTAAAAACTATATTGCCAGTACAAGCAAATAAACCCCAGAAGTGCTCTTTTTTATGCCCAACAAAAAGAAATCCACTTTTTTTGTAGGTAGATGGGGAGGAAGCATATCACTCACACAACGGTAACAAGGCACTCAAGAGTACACTGAGTAGTCAGTGCCAGAAGAGAGTTACAGATGTATTTGTTTTCCTCTGGAAAAAACTGTGTTTGCTAAATAAAAAATTAAATGTACTAATGCATGAAGACAGTGTTAAATACAGCTTCATAAAATACAGATTTTTATATTTATAAGTATCTTGTAGAAGAATTTTCCAATCAGCAGTATTCAGTAAAAGTACTGGCCAAGTTCTTATACTTGTGATTTGTACAGGGAATGATGTTTTATCATCCAGATGCAACACTGAAGTCCAAAAGCTCCCCCCAAAAATGGAAATATTTTTAGAACAGTTTCATTGGTATTTTCAATCCTTTTGTACTGCTAGAAAGGAAAGAAAACAGCAAAATGAAGTGACCTGTGCTATTCCATATCCACTGACAGGGCAACTGCCCATTCTCCCCAGGAGAAATCAGATTCAAGCAGAACCAGGGCAGACAGCAAACCATTACAGAAAGTGCACTCTTCAGAAAACTCATTTCAAGAAGTACTGTGTGGTGGGAGGGAACTTGCATAATTTTAGAGCAACCGGAGGCACGTGACTACTAAGTTTAAACACACATTGCTGATATCAATAGCTCTTAAGAGCTTCAGAGAACTCCCAAAAATGCAGAACCATGAAACTGCACTGCAAGTTAAGGAAGATAATCAGAACTTCTATCAAGCATTCATGAGATCCTAAAAGCTAAACAGCAATGCAGATTAGGATGGAATTGCTCACCAGGATGTCCTGCAATTATTTAGGCATTTTAAGTGCAGACCAGGAAAATTTTACCTTTCAGAAATGTTTTTGCTTATTTTTAAAGCTTGTTGGCAGGTAAGTTTCAGAATGCTATGAACTCTTCATGTAGGTAACAGGGATGTGTCAGATATTTGGAGATAGTTTTCATAATGTTACCAAAGAAATGACAAAAATAGCTTGTAAAATAGCCAGTGATGCGACCAACTTTCCCTATTTTGTGTTTGCTCACTTACAGTGAGCAAACTTAAATTTGTAAAGCTGTCAAAAGTAGCTTTTCAGCATATCTGACTTCTTTAAAGTTATTAGCAAAATTGGTTGCTGGTTTTGGAAGCAAGAAAAAAGGATAGATACAGCACTTGGGTCCACTGTTTCCACACAGGAATTCAAAGACAGCCCTTTGCTCCATATACACTTCTACAACAGACACCATTATATCAGACTGCCTCTCTGCTGCCATGTGTCACGCAGCAACAAATATAATGAGATATTGGTGAGAAGGTTCAGCCTCTGCTGCCATCCCACCAATATCCACCCCTGACTTCATGGGCCAACAGCATAAAACAGGAGATGTTAATTTCAGAGCTGCCCTCATGTAATTCCAGCTAAAGTAGGCAGCCTCAAGGTTGATTCCACAGAGATGAGTTTATTTCATTGCAGACCAGCCTGCTTCACTGTGAGTAAGGCAGGTGCAGACACTTCTGAATTGGCATCCATTCTTCAGCCACGGGCTTTCCAACATAATGCTTCTATGTGCTTTTACTCAGTACATAATTCTTTTTTTTTTACTCTTGGCAGCATACTGTCCATAGATTTTCTTTTTAAAGTTATTTTCTATAATCCATCATCTTAAATCCTGTAGTACAACATGAGAAAAACAATGTTTTACAAAGGGATCATTGCTTCTCCCACGCTGTTACTGACCTCTGTTTTGCCACAAAGCTATTAAGGAACCCTTTAGGGAGGTAGCTAAAGAAACTTCAACTGTATATCTATGATTTGCTTTACTTAATTTAAGCACACACTGACATATCTTCTTGATTAGATTAAGGTTGTGCAGGCAGCTGGGAGGGGCCAGCACCAGCACAGCTGACCCAGACTGGCCACGGGCTACCCTGTACCACATGGTGTCATACTGGCCAGGTCAGACCGGGCTCTGGGCAACCTGACCTAGTGCTTGATCTAGCAGCTGGCAACCCTGCTTGCAGCAAGGAGTTGGAACTAGATGATCACTGGGGTCTCCTTCAACCCAAACCACTCTGATTCTGTGCTGAGCAAGAATACCAGGGAGCTGGCCAAGATGCATGTGTGCACACTTGTTTTGTACGTTCTTCTACAGTCATCATTATTTTTACCTTTTTTTCTAATTTTCTCCCCATCCCCCTGGGATGTGAGCCATCAGCTGAGTGGTGTGCTGAGCTGCTGCCACAGCCCACCAGCATCTCAGCCACATGGGAAAAGGTAATGGGAAATCCAACTCAGTGGGCTACAACTGAGCTAAATTAAGGTAGTTTGGAAACAATTTTCACAGCATGACTGGACTCCATTCAAGACAAGACACAGCATTTACTTTGCCTCAACACTCAGTGTTTTCACTGCTTGACCAAATTATTTATTCTCTCACCTAAGAGAGAGAATATCATTTCCTTCTGCTACTTTGAAGCCAGCATTGGCCAGACCAAAGAACAGCTGGTGGGACAACACTATCCAAAGCAGAAGTCTGTACCTTTTCCCTCAGTCTGGATTTATTTCAGCCTAAGGGGATGAGTCCCAGCAATCAGATAGCTTTGTGAAGTCCATCTCATTTCACAACACTTAATTAACAGTATCCGTATAAATACATCTCTGTATAGAGATGTAGAGGTATGTATTTATGCAGATATCAGAGAAAAGTGGCAATTAGCTGCAGGAAATGTTTAGTAGGAGTACATAAATCAATTATTAAAGCTTAAGAACCACCTTATTCTTAATTACCTGAAGTCTCAGACCCAGAAAATCATATCATCATCAGAAACAAAGGCAAGGAGCCAGAACTGGTGGAGGCTACGAAGAATTAATTGCAGGCAAGCCTGCCCTGATGCACAACTGACTGCAAATGCAAGTCATTGATTTTTAAATACAAGAGAAACTGTGACAGGATATTAAGTCTCTCAGTGCAGTGGAACCCAAGGAATTTTTTGTTTCAATACCAGCAGCAAATGTTTGCACAGAAGAAATTATTTTACTGCTTTGCTGAACAGCTTGTCTTTCACAAATACATTGAAAATGAAGAATTCATCTTGTGAGGCTACTGAAAAAGCCATAGATGAGAACTGCTGTCACATTCAGCATTTCTTGAACCAAATAGAAAAACATTAAAGAAAAAAGATATTTGTGTGCATGCTACAGACGTATGGATATATGTAAGAGTATGTTTACTAAAATGAGCTCTAAAACAATATAAGAGATTCCAAATTTTCATAACCCACAATTCCTTAGTTAGGAAAACTGTAATGGAGATGCATTCAAGAGAGGATAGGAATGAACTGCATTTATTAGCAGCCAACAGGAATATGAGAGGGGGAGGGTAGATGAGGAACATAATACAGTCCTACATAAAAGGTAGCCTATAAAAGAGAGAGGGAAAAGTCTCTTCTCAATGAATATAAGTAGTTAGCTTGAACTACAGAAGAGAATACTCATGTTGGACGCATAACTGGAGAAAGAAAAGTTACTGTCATGTGTATTTATTAGCTTAAAAGGTATTTTCCTTGCTTTCTTGTATTTTGTTTTAAATTTGCTCTATGATCATCCCTTCATCCCTAACAGGAAATCAATTTGCTGGAACGCTCCTTCCCCCTTAGACTAAAAAAAAAAAAAAAAATCATTCTGTCCTTGATCTTCGCATTATTATTAACATTATTATGCATTGCTTTGAAATTACTAATAGAGCATTAGGAGTGAGGAGCATTTCCCATTTTAAAGTGTGACCACACCTAGAATTTTAGTTAGAAACCATGCAGGAAGGAGGGCTGCTTTTATTATCTACCTACCAAAATGATTAATTATAAAGAGAAATAGATGGCTTTGCCCTCAACATTAAACAGTAATAATTTTGTTGATGTACATGCACCTGCATGTTTTGAGAAGAGGATTTCCATGTATTCAAATAACTTCAATTTTGCAATTTATTTCCTTAATAAGAGCACGTTTACAGCAGGTTGCAAGGCTAAGGATAGTTAGTCAATAGTATTTGGTGTCTAATTAACTGTACAAGACAGAAGTATAAAGCAGGTGCTTTCCAATCTGGAATCATGTAGTGTGTTTATAACACCATATACTGACCATGCCCTTAACATGTTCATACCCCCTATTACTACATAGGTAAGTTTCAGTAATATGATAGATCCAAAAATTTTATTCCAAAAAGTGTGGGTGGGGATGAAAGCTCTCAGCCACAAACCAAGGAACGCTGTAGTCAAATCAGACTGCGCAGAGACTGGTCCCATCCTCTGCAAATGTGAGGGAATCATCAGTAATTCCATTAATAGAAAGGTATCAACAGAAGTCTTGCATGCAGAATGCAGGACCTCAGCCAGCTGCTGAGAAAACAGCACAATCTTCAGCATATATTTGGTGCTGAACAATCAGGCAAACTGTGAAACAGTATGTTCACAGGGAGTAAAAAAAATATAGGCATCCTTTAAATTGTCATTAAAATCGAGAGGCGTAAAATGAAATCAGTTACAAGCTCTGAGATGTGAGAGTAAATCATATTTCGTAACAGAAAAGACAAATGAAGTCAGAGAGACATCAAACAAGCTACCTGTATGGGAACTGCTGAATCACGGCCTCAACCTCTGATTGATCCCTGAGGCAAGCAACAAGTCAGCCCTGGGAACACAGGTGAAGGCAATTCACCTGTGCTGCCAGAAGGGGTAGAGCATGGCTCCAGCTTCCTCAACCCCCGTTTAAGAACTACTCTTTCTAGAGATCCTTCCTTTTGAAATTTTCCAGCAAGCCCAGGACAAGAGTAAGCCTTCTATCTATTCTTTTTTTGTGTAATAACCTGCTTAGCCAAACTCTCTTGTATATTTCTTAATTATAACATCTGTATATTCATTGATTATACACTACCTAATAAGAAACTAGCAGACCTCTAATCTCCCAAAGCTTACATGAAAAACTGGGGTTCTTAGACCTAGATTTAATGTGAGAACCAAGATAAGGTAAGAAACTGTAGTAGAAACATAGTAAACAGACAATATTATAGTAGTTTGAACAGGTGGTAGTGTCTGTGGTTCAGTGGAGCTTAGAAGGAAGTTTGCCCACTCACACCAATGGCACAGAGCAGCAGCATGGCCCAAAACAGAAGGAAAGAAGGGATTAAATCACAGCAAGGTGACCACAGGATGCACTACCCCGCCACAGTGGTTTCAGTGGTGGACAGCTGAACTCCATCACACCACCCTTTCACTTCCCACAGGAGGAAGAAAACGTGCCAGAAATAAAAGGCTGTCTAAGCTGAACTATCAGAAACAAGTCTTAAGGCTGTCTCACTTGAAATGGATGGAATGACAAAGGTATAATAGGAGGGGAGGCTAAACTGCATAACATTTAGGAGAGCTGCTTCCCCACAAGCAGTCTGCCTGTCTGTTCAGGGAATCTCAATAGCTGGAACAGCACTTTAAGATCCATCAGTTCCTCTCCTTACTGATGATTTAGTTTTTTTTATATTTAAAAACCTCACAGCACATCAGATGTGGGAAACTTGTCCAGGCTGTTTCTGACACCTTTGTGTACACACACTCCCCTCCCACCATTCAAAAACAAGAATGGGTCTCTGCAGAACAAGTTTTACCTCACTTTTGGAAGTTAGACTAAGCACTGTTGATGGCATCACTTATAAGGTCAGTGGGAGTCAGACTGTTGATGGGGTTTAAACCTCAAAAGGTTGAAAAGAGAAAAGGCCAAGGAAGTTAAGAGATCAAAGCACAACGGGTCAAAAGATGAAAGGTCAGGAGGACAAAATGTTACTGAGTAAAGAAGTCAAAGGGTCAAAAAATTAAAGGGGTCAATGTATTGACTAAGAGAGGTATGCAGTTGCCTCTGATCAGGTTTAGGATAACTCAAGAAAGGTATTCATCCCAAGCTGGTAACAAAAAAAAAATAGCTTACCCTCATTCCAAAATAAGAACTCACTAGAAAACTCCCACAAGGAAAAATCCTCCAAGTAGAGATACTTCCTTCTTTGCTGCCAGCCCTTATATGAGATTGGGGAGGAGTGAACCCAGGTTTTTTTTTGCACCTGTGCTCCCAGGGCTGGCCAAACCTCTTCATCAGTGATCAATCACTGGTTCAGGCTGTAACCTAACAGTTCCCATAGAGTCAAAAATCAAAGAGCAAGGGGTAAAGAGGTAAAAGGAGAATAGGGTCAAGAGGACAAAAGGATAAAAAAGTTGAGGAGTCAAAAGATCAGAAAGTCAGGGTTCAAAGGAGTTAAAGGCCAAAGGGATAGAAGGGTCAAAAGGTCAGGGCATCAGAAGGTGGAAAAGTTAAAAGGTCAAAAGGTCAACAGGTCAGAAAATGAGAAGGTCAAAGGGTAAAAATTTAAGAGGTCCAAAGGTCAAGGTGTTAAGAAGTCAAATGGTCCAAAGGTCAAGTGGGTCTAAAGGTCAAGGGGTCAAAAAATTATAAGCTCAAAAGATCAATTTGTCAAGAATTCAAATGGTCAAGGGGGTCAAAAATTAAGTGGGTCTAAATGTCAAAAAGTCACAGGGGTCAAAAAAATGTCAACAGGTGCTTAATAGAAAGCCCTTGTTCCACTTGTGTTTTGGTTGAAAATAAGGCATGGAAAAGGATGAATAAAGATGATGAAGATGAAGACTGGGAGGAGTGAGAAGATTAGTGTGTATGCTCAAGTAAGGGCAGTTTACGCTGTGACTCTGCTCTAATACAATTAACCAACATAGGCTACTTGTATTAACTGGAAAGTTTATTTTGTATTTGTCCTCAAGCAACTTCCCTAGGAAATTTAGATTGACTGGAATCACTTACCTAAAGTGCCAATTAAAAAAAAAGAAAAATTGCTTATTAAATAGTCTTTTAAGAAACAAATCATAAAGCTTGTGGAAAACAGACTGAATAAATTAATAAGATGCTCTGAGAAGTCTGAAAGCATTAAAAAAGGTGACTGCATATTGTGAGAGACTGTTTTGGACTCTGCCTCAAATCTTGCCATAAGAAAATACGCAACACTCTTTTTCTCAATGCTTGCACAAAGGCCCACAGCCATTTCCTGTTTTGCCAGTGCTACCTAAGCCTATATATTTATCACCTTGCCTCCAGTAATTGGAGTAAGACACATATACTACACAGTTTATTAAAATGCACTATCTATTCAAGAGCTGTATATACCACAAGGTTCAGCAATGCAAAGGGAAGTGCACACTACCTCCATAAGGAGACATTTTGCTCATTCCATCACTCACCATGTTCCAGTCTGCAGGAAAAGCAGACAAACAGCTCAACAGTAGAAAGAAGAAAATAAATGAGAGACAGAAGAGCATCTGCTGGTCCTGTAAATGAGCAGCCAGCACACGTGTGCTTGTGGTTGATGTTAGAAAGATCTGTTGAAGGGATTTCTGGGTATTCATTCTGGGACAATTATCTGGAATTCCTAAGATCATCAAGTACAACTATCCACCTACCACCAATATTGCCCACAGTTTGTACTTTGTTCATGCCAGTTTTCTTCACATTCCTTTCATTCTGAAGATTCTATACAAGGTACCAAGATGAAAGGCTATACGTGTTCACACAGAGCAAACCCACACAGAAAGAAAACACATCACTGAACGACTGGGTGTTACAGTGTGCATATACAGCTGCACTGTGGGGGAAAAAAAAAGATTTCCATTCATTCATACACGTATTTGTGACAATGAGCATAGGGGAATACAGTCTTCGGGAAATCTTACATCGCAGATTAATAAAATGTATTAAGAAAATTTAGTAAAATGTGGGAAAGTTGAGCACTAGGTTCATTGAAAAAAACACTTGATTAAGATAAGGTGAGAAGTTGATATTAAGCAGTTTGCTCAGTGGGCAGTTGGTACATAATTCACTGTCCAAGAAGGAGAATGCCAGGTCTGATTGCAATACTGATGTGGAAGAAGGAAAAAAGATCTAATCCAACCAAGCAATCCATGTGCTTGTCTTCCTTCTCCACCATTATATTTATTTTATTTCAGAGGGATTGTAAAGAACCAAAATCACTGTAATGCAATGGAGTGTTTGGTTCAATGTGACACATCACATCTAGTGAAAATAGGAAAAAGTAATGAATAGCAAAGTAATGAATAAGGTTAAATTACATTACTTAATCACAGCTTTAGTTTCATAAGATTATTGACTAGTTTGAAGGTAGAACTATGCTGAAATGGTTTGTAATATAGCAGTCATTAGATGCATACTTTCCTTATCTAAATTCCTATAAGTATTTCTGAAGTTCCCTGCAAAGTCACTTTTCCTACTGACATACTCTGACAGTTACACACTTCTCTTACCTGATTATCTCCCAGATATTTGGGAGAATTTTTAAAAATCTGTATTTCTTGGCTTTTTTTTTTTTATTATTATCCTTTAGTAGAGAAACTTAATTCTGAGGCTAAGCACAATGCAGTTTTGTTGCCAGCTTGCTGACGTGCTCATACAACCAGTTCTGCTGAGGCTGACACGAACCGAGAGTAATGTCCCCAGCTAACAGAGACTTATTGCTTATTAGCTCATTTCTGCACGTATAATGCAGACTAATGTATAACTTTCACTGGTGAGAGCAGCAGAATTTAAAAATCATAAAAAAAAAAAAAAAAGAAATACTTTTTAAGATGGAGTAAAGATCTATGAGAGTTTCTCCACAAGTAATGCTTCCTATTTTATTGTGTTGGCCCAGGACATCAGAGGCAGATGTTGGTGGGATGGCAGCAGAGGCTGGATCTTCCCATCAGTATTCCATTACATGCTGTTACCATGTGACAGATGGCAGCAGAGGGGCAGTCTGACACAATGGTGTCTGATATGGGCGTGCATGTGGAACAAAGGTGTGCCGCTGAATTCTGCCATGTGGAAAAATGCCCCCCGTTGACATTTCTCTGCTTGCCAAATGTTTATAGAGACCAAACAGTGCACGTGAGCACAGTGAGGCGGTAGGTAGTGCATTTCAGCAGTGGTGACAGCAGTCACTTCCACCGGTGCAGATTTGTTCAAGCATGGCATGCAGGCACTTGTTCACTGCTGGTGAAAATGCACAGCTAATAGTGATGACTCTGTTGAAAAATAGTATTCCGTAGCTGAGAATTTGCTCTACCAAACAGTGTTATTGTGTTCTTTATATCTGTTGTAGTTTCCAGGGAAATAAATAGGAGGCATTAATATCAGAGCGGCATACATGTAATACAACCAGCAAGTACCATGCCATGACCTCTAAGTCAAGAGGGCTGCTTTAAGTAAACAACTGACTTAGGCAGGCACTTTGCAGGAAACCAGGGTGACTGCAAACCTTTCTGCACTTGAGCAGGAGAATTGGGCTACCCAAGGAGAAGAATGTTTTCACACTCTGCTGAAAGCTTCAGCTACAAGGAATGTTTTTCCCCAAATGCCTGGGTTTCGTCATATCGCTTTTTTTTTTTTCTGTAAAAAATATTTTCTCAAGAAAATGTTCTGCTTTTTCTGTTTCATGCCACGCAACCGAATCATTAAGGATCTTCACACTCAGGGATTATTTTAGTCCCTTACCATATGAAATGTTTCTAGTTTAAAGCAAAGTGGGCTGATAAAAAGAAGGGAGGAGAACATTAATCCAGGCATGAAATAATTAATTGACATCTCAGCTAACAACGGAAAATTAAAATTATCACATGGGTAGGTTTTATGTAATTAAGAAGAAATGTGAACATGTGTCTTCAAAGCTAATACAAAAACCAAACAAGTGCCTTTGCAAACCCAATGTTCTTGCTTTTCTCTTAGCACTTGAAACTTTCCACACCAACACAAAAATTTTGCAACAGTGACACAGGCTGAACATACATCACAGTCTGCTTTACAAAAAAGAGCAATTAAAAATTGTAGTCCTCATTTCAATCTCTCTTGTTATGTCTACAAGGGAGCAGTTTTCCATTTCTGAAGAGGAACCTCACTTACCTGCCTCTTTCTTTGCCTACTATTGCAATGGGGATTCTGAAAGCTGTTTTCCTTTTTTTTTTTTTTAATACAAGAGATGTGCAGTGGACAAACTATCTTAAAAGACATGGAACTAATACTGAAAGACAATTTTGTACAGAAAGCAGTCATACTTTTAGAAAAATAAGTTCCTTATTTTAATCTTCTGTGAAAATAGGAATGATTTCCCAAGGAACAATGTACTAGTCCATCAGTGTCAGTAATGCCATGGGAAAAAAAAAAAAAAAGATTCATTTATGTACTAAACAAAATGCATGTAATTCATGGAATAAATGAGAAACATTGAAGTGATTCTCTTTTCTTTAGCTGAATGACAGAGAAGTCCAAAGAAGCAAAATGGGATCTGATGTGAAAAGTTTGGGTGTAACCCATTGTGTTGCTCATCGCTGACAGCCTCAGGACCCTGTGCCTACCTTCAGCCTGTAGAGAGACCCAGGTATGTATTATTCTGCTCAGCAGCAGGTTTTGGATTCTTTATCATTTTGCCCAGTAGTAAATGTTTGTTTGGTTGTTTGCTTATCAGAAGAAGATAAAGTTTCTTCCTCTGATTTAATCTTTGGTAGTTGGTGTCTGGTGAAAAATGAATTGTTCTTTTACTACTCAGAGGTGCACCAGTCAGGTGTACACATATGGGTCAGTGTTCTACCTGGTAGTTGATTTTATACACATGAGCTGAATCAAGGAGATGAATAACTGTCCAATAGAATGGAATGTCTGACTCTAAGGGGTCTCTGTAGTCAATATATTTTAAATGATTGATGATAAAATATTTTGCTGTTTTTAGAACAGGTTTCTTTTAGTCAATAACACACCTTATACTTTTGTCTACCATAACTATAGAGACCCAGAAGAATTGTCATGTGATATTTAATATAATATTAGCACATTTTTGTTCAGAATATTTTATTTCAGTTGCTCAGTTCCACCTTTATTTTACTGCTGGTAGAGTCATCTCATATAAACACTTTTACCAACAAATTTGCTGTGATGACAAAAGCATTCCTGTTGCTTCTCTCTGTGTGTTTCTTTACATCTCATTAAGCATCTTCTCATACTTTCTCTTAGGGTTTTGAAGAAATGCTAGGGAGTATTCTCATCCAGTGTTGTACATTTGTTATTGTTTTGTTTTTTTAAATGATACTGCTCTTCCGTATAGAAGGAGGAGACGTTTCCTTCCTATGTGTTCTGCAAGGACTGGAAGGAGCTACCTGTGCTGGGGAAGGAAATGATTGAACTGCAGGCAGGGACAAAAACAAGCAGTCCACTATATTCCATTTTTTGGGTGAGAAAGCAAGTGCGAGATTTAGAAGAAGGAGGAAGTGAAAGGGGGGAAAAATGTAACAGTCTTCAAAGTTTAAGTGCACATTGGCACAACCGCCACGTTCTTTGTCACAGTGCTGGGGTAACTGCTGCTGCAACATCAGTGACTTGTTATAAATGTTCCACTGTTAAACAGGAAGTGCTATTAGTGTTTTCTGATTTGACCTCATTCTAATGAATAATGTTGGAAAATGATACACTCATATCTAGTGATTGTGTTTACAACTGCTACCTTAAAGGATGTCATCACTTGCTCAGTACACCTAGTACCAATGGCTAGTGGTGTTACCTCTAACAAAGGCACTCAATAACAGCCTCTGGTAGAATCAAAATTCAGGCTTTATTGTCTCAGTCTTCACTTTGAAGAACACTGATTGTATTGGCATTTTCCAGCTCATGTCAAAGAAGGTCTACTCATTTTTATGAAGGTGCTTGAAATTCTTTACTCACACACTGGAATTCTCTCCATTAACCAGAAGACTTTTACATATGGGATCTATTACAAGGCATGATTTTTTTTCTGAGGGACATTGCCTTTGAATGGAAAACTGCTTTCATTTAACTGTACAATACAGACATGCTGAGCATGTTGCCCTGCCCTGTTTTAGTGTTTCATTACAGGACTGTCTTTCTAAAACAGTGTATGTTTTGATGTTGTTGACTCATTAGCACATACTTAGTACTGGGTCCATGTCTAAAGCAAAGAGACAGTTCTGCTGTGTGACAGCGAGGTGAAAGTTAAATCCAGGTACAAATCATGGAAATTGATCTTTTGGAAGCTCAGCACCACATTCAGCAGTGGCAAGAGAGCTCTACTGAAGTAATTTTGAGCAGAGATGTTTTTCACATTTATCTCAAACCTTACTGGCTGTAGATTCCTGTTCTTAAAATGATCATAGTCATTGCCAAGTTATGATAAATAGTCCTACCAGCTAGAGAGAAAAGCACGCTGGTTTGGAACAGTCTGTATTTTTATGTCTAAAAACTCACATCCAGAAAAGATCCCAGGGTGTTACAAGCCTAGAAATACTGGTGGATGGGAAGTTCAACACAAGCCAACAATGTGCTCTCACAGCTGGCATTAGTTCATACAATGTCCCTCCAAGGACTAATGATGACAATATTTGACATCAGTTATTTTCAGGTGCCAATCACTTCCAGTTACTTAAGAATTTCTCACAGGAGTATGACGCTAAGAAATTAACTCTTTTCCATTGAATATTTATTCTGTGGTATTCTGTTAATGATGTAAGTTTTAACTACTGTTTGTGAAAGGCTTTACTGAGGAAATTCCCACCAAGACAACCTCCTTTTCTGAAAGGGGGATGCTGGATTCCAAAACACAGCGGAGTCAACAGGGCTTTGGAAACTCTCTTGCAACCTTACTCTTCTGCATTTGCTTTTCACAGATATGCTTCTAATGTCTTCAAAAAGTTGTTCACTATAAAAGAAAATGCTCCATGTCATATCTAAAACACTGAGGTCGCTTGGGAAGTCTTGTGTCTTTCCACTCATCTGTCACATTTTTTGTTTGATATGTTTTGATGAAAGGCTGCATTCTCCATTGTCATTTAAAAAGCCATTTGCCACCTTCTGAATCACAAGGGAGAGGCAAGAGAAGTCCTTAAGACTCCTTTTTGCAGATACACAGATAGGAACAGGTACCTGGGCTTCTTTAGGTCCATTTCCATGTTCTTGGAACACACGCTCCTGCTCTGTGCATGTCCTGTTGACTGACTGTGCAGGCACATGTAGTGCTTCATGTCAACTCCAGCTGAGCACTCTGCACACAGTAATTGCTACAGTTCATTCAGGCTAAGGGTCCCTCTGACAGTAGTTGGTGACAAGTGCAATAGAGAAGGGTGTAAGAGCCAGGAGAAGCAGTAATGGCCTTAAGTTATGCCACGGAAGGTTCAGGGTGGATATTAGGAAACATTTCTTCTCAGAAAGAGCGGTGAGACAGTGGCACAGGCTGTCCAGAGAGGTGGTGGAGTCACCATCACTGGAAGTGTTCAAGAAACATGGAGATGTAGCACTCAGAAATGTGGTCATTGGGCATGGTGGGGATGGGCTGGCAGTTGGACATTATGATTTAGTGGTCTTTTTCAACCTTAATGATTCTCTGACTCTGTACAGCAATATTTCCACCAAGACACCAGCTCAATGATTCTTGAGCATTTCTGTGTTTAAACACCTTGGTGTGTTAATGGGCCCTGGCAAACCTTCCTTCCCTAATTGAGTTGATTTCCTCTGGAAGCAGTTTAAATGATTGACCTCCAGCAGCTGGTGGTAATGAGTTCTGCAGCCAAATTACAAACAATATGAAGTAATCATTAATTTCATTTTAAACCCACTACCCAGTAATTTTACAGTGTGCCTCATCACAATGCTGTAGAAGGACTAACAAATAAACATTCACTGCCATTTATCTTATTTTATGCTGGCCTTCTCCTGATGCTGAGGAGCAGTGTCCTTGTTTGTCTCTCCTTGGAAGCTCTTCCTTACCATGGAGCATTTGGCTGCTCTTATCTGTACAGCTTTTATTTTTATTATGCTACTGCTAGTATGCCAAATGACAGCAGAACTTGGAAAATCACGTGTTAGGAAGCAGCCTTTCTCTTTAACAAGACATTCAAAACTGATCTTTTTGCATAAAGATTACCAATATCGTACATAAACTCACAAATAGTGTCATACATAGAACTATTTTCTCACAGTCTGAGATCTGTTAAATAATACTCTTCCTATTTAATGTATGTAGAGATACAGATAATAAGAGATACATTCCTGTGCCATGGTGTACAAATGCACATTAATGAGGGCTGGAGAGAAAGAGAGGGAGAGAGCCAGAGATTTTCAGCAACTAGCATGAAGAAGATCAAGGGGATGCCAAAATTACTGGAAGAAAGAAGAGAATTGAAGATGAGAAGAAATTAGGGTAACGTGTGGATATAAGAGCCCAAGAGCAAAAGTATGTCCATGATGTGAGTGATATGATGATAGAGATAATGTCTTTCTTAAAATCAGTTCTTAGACATAGGGATTGGATTTGAGGTGGTGCTGCGTGGAGCCAGGAACTGGACTCAGTGATCCTTGTGGGCTCCTCCTTCCAGCTCGAGATGACTTGTGTTTATATGATTCTGTGTTGACAGGGAGCACACAGGGCAGCTTGTGGCCTTTCACACTATTCCATTGTTGGTTTGCAGGAATGTAAATGGTTACTCAGTGCCAAATTATTTTTCTCTCTAACACTAGGGGCTTTTTATTTCTGTCTTGACAAGCTGCTTGTAAAATGTACTGCTGCATGGTTGTATTTATAGCAGATTGCCTGAGCTATGAATGGCGAAACGTTTCATAAAAGACAGGCCAATAACATGCAAATGGTAGAGTTGTTTTCTTACTGCTAAAAAGAAAGGTTGGTTTTGCGTATCAGCACAGAGGAAATTGATGCTGTCACTTACAGATGCATCCATCTTATTTCAAATCTCTGGGAACAGTAAAGAGAGAAAAGCCGGAGATTAAAAGACAGAGTCCAGTGATCCAAATGAAAAATACAGTAGTCTCTGATGCATAATAATAATGATGGGGCTGCTTGGGGTACTTTGAATCCTGTGAGCTTCATGTTTTTTCCATTACAAAAGAAAGACTGTTCACCATTTTTCGTATTAAAAAGCTGCTGTGTTTCTGTGCTCCGTGGTGAGTATGAGAGATGGAGACAGGAACTAAAACTGACATTTACTCTGCTTTCAGCTGAGCAATCTGGGTTCCACTGCAGCCAATAGCAATGGCTGATTATTTTTTTAATAAATGATTATGTTTATTATTTTTGTTCGCATTTACTGTTCATAGCTGGAATTGCATATAAACCTTCTGTAGACAATAGTATAGTCACCACTGCAGAGACTTCATGAAGGAGTGAAGACTACAGAGACTGTCACACTCATCCTAGCCCTCATGCTGCAATTTGCAATAGTGCTTGGGCTTTAGATAGGTCCTCTGGATAAGCAGTGAGGGACAGCCCTCCTGAAATTTCTTCAGAAAAAAGAGACAAGCAAAGTGCAAGTGACATTGTCCTCACTTCATGGCCTCTGCCGCCTCACAGTCAGAATTGTGCAGAGCAGCTCTGCTCTGGCAGCTCACTTGGAATCAGATGCTGATGCCTACTTGATGCCCAATTAAACTGGAACAAATGCATCTCCATTAAGCAGAAGTACTCACTGTTGATTGATTAAGCACCCTTCTCTGTTAGGGGGCAAATTCAGACTACCATTCTCCCCACTAAAGCAAGCTTGACAGTACATCTAAACATAGAACATTTGTGATTATAATTCTTCAGCAAGTTCTCACAGAAGCTGCAGAGCTTAAAAACTGCAGTAGATGAGGTCCACAGGGCATGAAATACACATACAGGGCATTTTTGTTAACCATTAGCACTTACAAAGCGTTTTTGGAAGAAGAAATGTGCCAAATATGACCATTACTATTAACAATCCTTTCTTTCTTCACGTCCTTGTTAATAATGCTTACAGATTTGTTCTGGGGCCTAAGTGAAGCACTTGTTTGGTTTTCATGTTGTAGAATCATAGAATCATACACTGTCTTGGGTTGGAAGAGACCTTGAAGACCATCTAGCTCCAATCCCCTTGCCATGGGCAGGGTTGCTGACTTAGTAGTCAGGCTGCCTAGGATCCCATCAAAGAATCATAGAATTGCTCAGGTTGGAAAAGACCTTCAAGATCATCGAGTCCCATCAAGTTTGGCCTTGAGCATCTTGAGGGATGGAGCACCCACAGCTCTGAGCAGCAATGCCAGGGCCTCACTGCCCTCCAAGTGAAGAATTTCTTCCTTACATCTAATCTAAATCTCCCCTCTTTCATTTTAAATCCATTCTCTTTTGTCCTATCAATATCTACCTGTGTAAAGTTTCATTAGTGAAATATTAAGTACAGCTAAATAATCTTGCTCATACTTTCAGGACTGGTTTGTTTTCATCCGGGCTTTGTTATCTGTTGAATGTGATGTGGAAGACCTCCTCTTTATGCGTCAAGTGAAGGGCTTCATGACAATGTATTATTTAAGGTACACGAGACGATGTGAAGCATGAGACCAGATATTTCAGAGAAACTACTTGAAGAGTAAACATTAACAGAATTTTGGGGCTGTAAAAAGGTTTTGCAGAAATTCCATGTAGCCAAGCTTGGAAATATTCATTTATATTTATGCAATAGTACAGCTCCACAAAAAAATAAAATAAAATAAAATATCACTGCTAATGAACAATTTGCTTGGGTATCTGACAAAGATATGCTGAGAGAAATAGAATCAGATAGCCTGGAGAAATCGGGTCTAAGAAATTTGCTTAGCCATATAGTGCAGATGCAGCAGAAATTAATACAGTTAAGAACTGCCAAAAACATTTTCTACTTTATTTAAAGTTACCTGCTAGAATTCTTGAATAAGAGAAAGACAATGTGAAAGGAACGATGAGCAAACACATACTACTTTTTGTCAAAAGAAATTAAAATACTTTTCTAGTCTTTAAATTGCTTAGAATGTATGAAAACATTACTCCCTATGGTTTATGAATCAGAATAACTTTTTGTATATATATGTAATTTACTTTTTGGTGCTTTATTCGTGTATCGCAACCTTTACATATCAGTTGGGTATTTTAAATTATATAATAGAATCATAGAATGGTTTGTGTTAGAAGGGACCTTTAAGATGATGTAGTTCCAACCCCTTGCTATAGGCAGGCACAGCTCCCTGTAGACCAGGTTGCTCACAGCCCCATCCAGCCTGGCCTTGAATGCTTCCAGGGAGGGGGCATCCACAGCCTCAGTGGGAAACCTGTTCCAGTGTCTCACCACCCTTCTCTTAGTTAAATTGTTAAATGTCCTTCTCTTTGTTAAATTCAATTTGGAAATTGAGATAAATATACTGGTAAGCCACTGAAGAGAGAGAGTTAAGAAAAACAAGAAAGGAGGAAGGGGAAAATAAGAAGGAACAAAGTAGTTAGCAAATCAAGCTTGCTGTCTCACCCAGTGTATGTGAATCTCATAATTCAACAGCCTGACTCAGAACAGTGCAGGGCACAGCACTGTAATATTGCCTGTCAAGGAGATCTGAATGTAGAGTGCTTTTGGCTGCCCTGAGCTTTGAGGGTAAAATTGCTTTTCTGAGTTTTAAATTTTGCTTACAGGAAGGATTTGAGCCTATTTATTACATTCCTCACCAGCTACCTCGTTCTGAATGTTGTAAAAATAGCAGCGCTTGGTGTTCTGGTAACTAAAATGCACATGGATTTATTTTTGAAGCTACTTCCACAGGCACTTAAGGAACTGTCAGAGTCATAAATATGAAATAGAATCAAAGTGCATGGCATTCCTATGTCAGACTTTACCATTTGCCTATTGACACAGGAACTCCACCCAATTTTTCCCTCACCTCAGCAGTCGTTGCTATCAATGCTGGACCAGCAGCTGCCGCAAGAGGTTGCAGCAGCACTTCTCCCAATGCACAGCTGAGAGATGCACCAAAAAGAATGGGATGATGTAAATGCATGACTTGGAGGAGTTGGGGTGCACGGTGTACATTCATTTCTGGAGTAAGACAGCACTGTTTCATGACTGTGCTGATCTAGGCAGACCTAGGTTAGATACAAGGAGTAGAAGGTAAAACACAGCTCTCCTAGAAGGTTAAACAACAGGAACACATTTTATCTGTGCTTATTTTGAGAATTCCTATGGGAATAAAGCCTGAGTTTTCTCTAAACCTTAGAGAGTTATCGAGCTGCCCTATGCCCAGTCAGCAGTGACAAAGAAGCAAATGCACAGGATTTAAGACCCCTTTATATCTGGCATATAAGACAGCAAAATAAAAACAAAAGCGTTACTCTTTCCCCGCTTAGTGAAAGCTTTATGGTGCAAGTAGCATTTCTAATCCTTTATGTTCCTTCCCTCTATGATGCATCTAATGAATAATCTGCATATCTCATCCACAACTCACTTGGCAGCAAAGTAGCGTCTTTTAACAGTCACCTAACGGTTTTAAGCAGTATATTACACCCTTCATTCTCATTCTAGTTTTGAAGTTAACACCTTTCCTCCACTTCCATACCTTTTCCTGTCCCAAATACCTCCTTGCTCCTATGACTGCTCATCAGCCTGGGGTCTGCTTCTGCAAAGCACTGCTGCTGGCAGCCTTGCTCCCTGCTCCAGTTTTTGCTGCTGTGTCAGGACATGCCATCTCCAGAAATGCTGGCTGTAGACAAAAAATACAGCCTAAACATACTGAATTTAAAAAAAAAGTCGGACTAATTCCCATATTCTGCTGCTTTTGTTTTAGTTTTCCTCTTGGAATAATGCTATTTTTGGTAAATCATGTCGAAAAATTATCTTCCTTGAATTGTTCTTTTAAATGAAGTGAGTGCAAATCTTACATAGTCATAGTTTTTTCAATAATGCCTATTTCATTGTAATGACAGTTAGACATTGAAGAAACACATTACTCTATCAATGCAGTGGCTTGATGCAGCAAAAATCCTATGTTTTAGGTTTTAGGAAATAGCACCATAGTAAAACAAGTAGCTTGCTTCTGGTTTTGAATCCATGAAATAATTCTTGCCCTCTGACTGCTTGTGGAACTGCTTCTAATTTTATGTAGAGGACAGCAATAGTGCTAGGAGAAGGGTAAAAATGGATATTCAAGTCTTCTTGGAGAACTGACAGCTTTATCTTTCAAAGAAAGCTGCAAAAATTGGACTGTGTTTGCATTTTCATGGCCAGTTGAAGAGATTTTCATGAAGACCATTTTTCAGTCAGTCACTCAACAAAGTGTCCCAAGGGCAAGAATGAACTATTATTGCCTGAGGCTGACACATAGCTGGTCTTAATAATGTACAGCACATTAACTGAGAATAAATGGTTTATATAACCCATTTCCCATCAGCCTACAGAGCATCATGCCAGAAGGAATCAGCTTAGTGAACTGAAGAATGGGAACAAAATCCTTCCCCCAGAAAATTAATAAAGAGAAATAGATGTGGGGAGGTCCTAAATTCATTGAATTAGAAGTAGAAATTGTAAAGAGTTGTACCAAAAGCAACTGCAGTTTGTAAATGCAGAGCAGTTTCAGGCTGTGGCATCTCATTACATTCATAGATGAAGTCATGAAGGCAGGAAGCTAGATGCAGATGTTCACTGGAGTCAGACTGGGTTGCAGATGGCCCTCATTGTCAGTGCAGGCATGGCTTTATTTCAATTAAATATTGCAGTTCTAATGTCTCTGATTATTATTATTTTAATTTTTATTTCTTCTCCAATTGGAAGAAAAGTCTCTCACTCAAAACAATTGAAATTACAACTTTCACACAGACCCTTTTCTCAAGGGCATGCTCAAAAAGATATTCAGCTGAAGCAGAAGAATAAGAATACAAAAGAAAGAAAGGAAAAAAAAAAGTAGTAGAAATTCACTGTAAGACAAATACGCAATGGAAAACAAAGCAGTCACATCTTTCATTCCATAGATAGAGGAAAAAGTTTTGAAGAACTTTTCCATTCTTCATTTCAGCAACAAGATTAATACCCAGCTCCTGTGGCAGCACTTTTTCCATTGAGATACATGGCTATTGCTTTGCTGTGGGACAGAAAGAAGGGAAGGAGTAGAGAAAAGTGAAGGGGCTGAAATAAATCCAAGTTTAATTTCCAAATTATTTCTTGACAAAAATCTTACAGGATGGAGAAGGCACTACCAGTAAATTTCTCTTCTGTTCCACTGATCCAGGCATTCTCTTGAGGCACAAAAAGCCACAGTGCTCCATGAACATGGCATATCCAGAGAGGAGGAAAGAAGAGTTCCTACCAGAGTCTGTGTTGCTGAAGTTCCTCAGGCTGTCTTCCTGCTGTCCCCAGCCCCAAGCCAACTTACTGCAGCCATCCTGCACAAGGCAGCACTGCAAGGTGCTACAGGCTCAGGCCCAGAGGATACATAGCTACTCTGACTCAAAATGATGTGTGCAGGGAGCAACTAAGCAGGGCTGATCTCCTGGTACCAGTCTGGAGACAGATTGCCCAGAGCTTCTCTGCACTGCTGCACTGTGCACACCACCAACTCATTTTTTGCACTGAACTGAGAAAACTGGGCCTAAGCTGGGATTTACAAAGCCCTACAGGTTGATTCCTAAGGAAACCAGCAAGAGCTGTCTTATAACCCTCTGTTTTACATTGCTTCTGGTATTTATGAGAATAAGAGATTGGAAAAAGCACTTGATCTCTATTTTTAAATTTCAGAGAATTTTCCCATGAATAGCTCTCCTTTCTTTTGTTGCAGTGCTGTGCAAGACAAACACAAAAGAGGGCACTAATGCAGTCCCCAAGTATTCATAGCAAAGATCCCTTCTCCACAGTTCACACAAACCTCTTGACACAGCAATCAGGCACTCAGCTTAACAGCTGCAACATGGAGTCCCTGTTCTTGCTGAACCCAGTGTTAAACATCCTGTCACATGGTGAAAATATTCAGCTGCCTTCCCAAGAGCTTGTCTGTTCATTTGTCTGCCATCCCTCCTATTCCCCAGTTACCTTTCAGTCTGTGAGCTGGCACACAGCACATTCCACTGAGATACAGATGGTCCAAGTATAGGAAGTTCCTACAATCTTCTGCTGTCTACCAGACAATAAACAGAAGTATCTCCCTATAAAATATCCTATCACCTCCCTCTAGACAAGTACTGAAGAGTAGCAAAAATGGATCCCATTGAAAACATGAAAAAATAATTCGGATGGACATTTGTCTGCCCACAGATGTTGTTTCTTTAACAATTTTCCATTTCAATTCTGAATTTCTGCAGCTCATCATGTATCCTGAGACCAGTTTGCCAATCTGTTTCCTCAGGTTGTCTGTTGGCTTTCTCTCTCATTTTTTCAGCATCTTTTTTTTTTCTCCAATTTCAGCTTGGGTATCTAACAAATCTTAAGTTTGCTGTCTAGCATTAAAAAGGCAATATTTTAGGACTTGGAGCAACAGACACTCAGTCTTGTGTTAAGTATTAGACTGAGTAAACATTGTCCAAATCAGATGTGCTAAGTAAAGACAAAAGAAAGCCCTGATCATGCTTTCTGTTACATAATTTCACTGATTTTGGTGAAGTTGCTTTTAATTAATTAAGTAATAAGAAACCTTTTAAGACTCCTGACATAAAATCTCACTTGATTCC